AGTTTCTGGGATTGATTCTGTATGATTTTCCTAAACCGCCCTGTGGGTCAACTTCTGTTACATTTTCCTAAATTGCATTTTTCCCTCACCAAAACTAGTTCTTCCGCGATAACCATAATCCTGATGTTCATCATTATCATTCAACACTCTCAAATCTAAACCCGAAATTCTTTCTTTTCATCGATTAAAATCTAAGATTAATATACTTCATCAGTACGCTGAAAATTATAGTTTGACTGCAAATGACTTTCAACAAATCCATGTTCAATAATTACGATTTGTCTTCCTGCTGATCATCAACTAAACCCACATTCAAATGAAGGAATAAAATTACTCTAGAAGCAGCTAAAATCGCAGAGTCTTTAAAAATTACTAAGGAGGCATAACAGAAGATGACACCAACAAAGAGGATATATTAGAGGAAGAAAAGAAAAAGAATTTAATTTTATTAATCAACACCCAAATTGGCCTTGGCAATGGTATCAAGTTTTGCGGTTTCAGACTTTAGGAATGCTACGATTTTAAAATTGTATTTGGCCGAAACCTATTAACGAACACGACGAGATTGGGCAAAATTCAAATGGAATTGGGACTAGATTTTATGGTCGATGGGAAAGCACAATTAACGTTAATTTTGTGCAAATTTTGAAGCTAAACTCATGGATGAAGACATGCTTTGATTTTAAGTTTTTGAGCTCATTTTATATCCAAGCAACAAGGATTAAAAACGGCATGAGCAACTATTTGTGTTAGGGGTGCTCACGGTTTGGCTCAAACCGATAGAACCGTCCAATCCGGTCATCGGTTCAGATTCATGGGCGGATTATAATTATATTTTTAAACCGGCGGATTGAAAAATTGAAAACCGGTCAATCTGGTCCGGATTACGATTTGGCACTGTCAAACCGTCTGTCAATCCGGACCGGACCGAATATATATTATAAAATAATAATATATTGGTTTTGTATATATAGCGTCGGATAGAGACTTTCATCAAAAGTGTTAAGTTGTCCTATTGGCATTATTGTTGTTCCCTCTACATTAGACCTTGTTGAAGGTCGTGTGTTCAAATCTCCCATGAACTAATTTTTTATTTTTTTTTCAAGGAAAGCCTTAAAAAAAAGGCTGGAAAAAGGCCCAAAAAATTTCAGAAAAAAAAGCTCCCAAAAAATGTCCAACAACAAAAAAATGTTTAATTTTTTGCCCAAAATGAAAAAGTCTAATCAGAAGCCCAAACCACCAATCCGCCCAAACCAAACTGTTAAAAACGGATTGAATTGGTCCGGATTATACACCAATCCGGTCCGGTTACGGATTAAAAATTTTTCAAACCACAATGAACGGTTTGGTTACGGATTGCTATCAATCCGGATCATTTCGGACCATGAACACCCCTAATTTGTGTTTATTAGAAAAAAGAAATGATTGGCGGGGGAAGATGAAAACAAGGATTATAGAGAGCAAAATAGACTTAATCACAAAGGGCAATTTAGAACAATCTTGCATAATTTGCTCGGAAAGCTAATTATTACCTTGGCAATATTATCGGCCTTAAACTCCAATCTTGAGCGGAAAACCACTTGTTTCATTAAGTTGAAGATTTACAACAACTAATGAATAAATTCAATGGTACACTATTCTAATTTTAAGTTAAATTTGGTCTTCGTATTCTAATTACATGGTGCTTCTCAAATTTAGTTAGAAATTTCACTTGTTGGAATTCTATTTTTTACTCGGTTTCATGAAAATTGATAATCTATTTTCACAACTATAAATAAAGAAAAATGAGCAATGATAGAGATATTGACTAATTATGGAGAAAAAGTATAGTGACTAATGAAAAGACAAATACACCATCCTCACGAAATATGTGTATTTATTAATCAAAGGTAAAAATATAATTTTTAGAGAAAGATAAAATTTTAACGAGAAAGTGACAAAAAATAAGGGTCAAGAATATTCCATATCACTCACTATCTTTTTTCACTATTTTTTTCAGTAGATATATCATTTTCCGGCAATTTATCCAGTATATCCGGGGGTATGGTGTACCCCCTCCTATTTTTTGCATTTCTAGTCCTTATTGTACTTTTTTTATCAATCTTTCTATATTTTGCAAGTTTAGTCCTTGTCATTTTTTCTCTCTCTTCCAAAAAAAAAAATCTCTAATCTTTCAACGAGCATATCTCCCAATCCGTGAAAATTTGTGAACGAATTATATATGAAATTTATAGTACTCGTCGAGATCTATCCAACAAAATCCATAGTGAATACTTTTTTCGGGCTTAAAAATGACTTAATTCTAATGGACAAAATAGAAGTGGATATCCAGTTTTACAAGATGGATAACCAACTTGTTCTAAATTGGTTATCCATTGTGTTCATGGTGATTATCCAATCAGTTTGAACTGGTTATCCAACTTCTTTGTGCTGGATATCCACCCATTTGTTTTGTATGCCTATCAAACTTGTTTATAATGGATATCCTACTTGTTTGTACTGGATATCCATCTTTTTAAACTGGATATCCAATGTGTTCATATTGATTATCTAACTTCTTTGTGATGGTTATTCAGTATTTTTTTTCCTTGCTCTTTTATGAAAATGATTGTCAAACTTTTTTATACTGATTATCCAACGTGTTGCACTGATTATCCAATTATTTTCTACTGATTATCCAAATTGTTTGCAATGCTTATCCAATCATTTTTTCTTTCTTTTTTTTTTGAAAAGTGAATGTCAAAAATATGATTAGATAACAAGTACGAACAGAATGGATAATCAGTCCAAACCGGTTGGATAATCAGTAGGAACACAACGGATAACCATTTTTCAAAGAAAAACAAAAAAAAAACACATTTCTTCATTTCTGCCCGTGAAATTTAAATGCATTTAAAGTTCAAAAAAAATATTCAACATGGATCTTATCGGATAGATCTCATCGAGCACTATAAATTTCATACATAATTCGTGTTATAATTCTTTATGAATCAAAAGATACAAGAAACACAACAATATGAATGTAAAATAAGTTGGTTATCCATCTTTTTAAACTGGATATCCAATGTGTTCATATTGATTATCCAAATTCTTTGTGGTGGTTATCCAGTATTTTTTTTCCCTTGCTCTTTTATGAAAATGATTGTCAAACTTTTTTGTACTGATTATCCAACGTGTTACACTGATTATCCAATTATTTTCTATTGATTATCCAAATTGTTAGCAATGCTTATCCAATCATTTTTTCTTTCTTTTTTTTTTTTTGAAGAGTGAATGTCAAAAATATGATTGGATAACAAGTACGAACGGAATGGATAATCAGTCCAAACCGGTTGGATAATCAGTAGGAACACAATGGATAACCATTTTTCAAAGAAAAATGAAAAACACATTTCTTCATTTCTGCCCGTAAAATTTAAATGCATCTAAAGTTCAAAAAAAATATTCAACATGGATCTTATCGGATAGATCTCATCGAGCACTATAAATTTCATACATAATTCGTGTTATAATTCTTTATGAATCAAAAGATACAAGGAACACAACAATATGAATGTAAAATAAGTTGGTTATCCATCTTTTTAAACTGGATATCCAATGTGTTCATATTGATTATCCAACTTCTTTGTGGTGGTTATCCAGTATTTTTTTTTCCTTGCTCTTTTATGAAAATGATTGTCAAACTTTTTTGTACTGATTATCCAACGTGTTGCACTGATTATCCAATTATTTTCTACTGATTATCCAAATTGTTTGCAATGCTTATCCAATCATTTTTTCTTTCTTTCCTTTTTTTTTTTTGAATAGTGAATGTCAAAAATATAATTGGATAACAAGTACGAACAGAATGGATAACCAGTCCAAACTGATTGGATAATCAGCAGGAACACAACGGATAACCATTTTCAAAGAAAAACGAAAAACACATTTCTTCATTTCTGTCCGTAAAATTTAAATGCATTTAAAGTTCAAAAAAAATATTCAACATTAATCTTATCGGATAGATCTCATCGAGCACTATAAATTTCATATATAATTAGTGTTATAATTCTTTATGAATCAAAAGATACAAGAAACACAACAATATGAATGTAAAATAAGTTGGTTATCAATCTTTTTAAACTGGATATCCAATGTGTTCTTATTGATTATCCAACTTCTTTGTGGTGGTTATCCAGTATTTTTTTTCCTTGTTGTTTTATGAAAATGATTGTCAAACTTTTTTGTACTAATTATCCAACGTGTTGCACTGATTATCCAATTATTTTCTATTGATTATCCAAATTATTTGCAATGCTTATCCAATCATTTTTTCTTTCTTTCTTTTTTTTTTTTTTGAAGAGTGAATGTCAAAAATATAATTGGATAACAAGTACAAACAGAATGGATAGCCAGTTCAAACTGATTGGATAATCAGCATGAATACAATGGATAACCAATTTAGAACAAGTTGGTTATCCAAAATGTTTGAACTGGTTATCCACTGTGTTCATTCTGATTATTCAACTTGTTTGTACTGGATATCCAACTTAATTCTGCCTAAAGAAATTTGATCATTTTTAAGTTGGAAAAAAATATTGGATATGGATCTTGTTGAATAGATCTCAATGAGTACTATAATTTTCATACGTAACACGTTCTCTAATTCTTTACGGATTATGAGATATGGTCATTTAAAGATTAGAGATATTTTTTAAAGGAGAGAAAAACAAAATCACAGGGACTAAACTTACAAATCATAAAAAGATTGATGAAAAATACAATAAGGACTCCTCGTGCAAAAATAGGAGGGAGGCACCGTGCATCCGGGTATACTGGATACAACCTCTCATTTTCCAAGGAGAATATTACTTTTTGGTGTAACAATCGTATTTTGTTACATTAACTGCATATTTAGTTTCATAAACACTAAATTGACAGGGTTAAGATCATGGTATTTGTGGATAATCATTGCCATCTCAACATGAAAACTCAATTAATATGTAACAAGTGAGCGAATGTGCCGGTCTCAATCACAAACTAAGATGAGAAAGTCTTATTAATTTAAAACGAAACATGCAAGAAAATTTTTTTTCCTTTATTTATACACATGAGATGATTGAAACGAACACATATCACACTTGCACTCTAATTTGGCCAGAAGGGGTAGGAAATTCCCAAGGCCAAAAGGGGTAGATTCTAAAGTTGATTATTCAAGCTTGGACAAAAAGCAAAAGTTCCCAATTAACTATTGACAAATGCACAGTGTTTCCTGATTTCACCAGCAGATCCTGTCAATACTTGTATGCTGCCCATTTTTTCCATAGACAGCGCAAATTCTTGGAAGAAATCCTGCAATGAGCCCTGAAGAAGTTTCTTGATGTAGGAAAGTGTGATGGAATTCTTTGTCAATGCTGAATCTGATTCAAACAGTCCTCTCCTCTTTAGCAGAAGGCTGTAGTAACTGAGGTCAAATGTCCTAAAACTTCCGGGATCCATTTCAACTATGGTTGTGTTGTCGTTGATCGATTTGCATTTCTTCTCTTTGAGGTTTTCTGCATATTCACTGTCTAGGGATGGATCTTCTTTGCCAGGAATCCCCGAAAAGTTGTACAAACGGCTTGTAAACGCCGGACAATGAGCGATTCCAATCGTGTGCGCTCCTGTGTAACAAAACATTTCAAACACAAGGAAAAAGTCACCGATAAACATTGGCGGAGGCAGGGGGTGGCCAGCCGGTGCGGCGCGGCACCCCCTCTGTTCATTTTTTAAAGAATGTGTATTGTAATTATTAAAAAAAAATGTATAAAATTTGTTATTTTTGCACCCTCAAGGAAAATTTTAAGATAATAATTAAAAAGAATAGAGTTAATTTACACAAAAACATTAGGAACGATGTTTTTTTTACGCTCAATATATGTAAAGTTTAAGTAAAAAATAAATGAAATAGCAAAGTTTTTACAAAAGAAAATAATAGTATTAATTTATATTTTCTAAATGACACGTAAATATTCATTTAGTAATAAGAAATTGTAAGTCAAGGCCTACATGAACTATGAGAATGCATTTAGGATCTGAATCAAGACCCAAATATTAAAACAAAAATAAAATAAAAGTCCAAAGAATTTTAGTTTGCTAAAGCCTAAACAGTTAATAGAAAAAATAAATTTATAAAATGCTAATCTTCTTGCCGGATTAAAAAATCTTGATGTCAAATTCAAGTTGATTATATCATCTTTTGTCGAATTGGTTTTTATTTAATAGAAAGAAGTATGTTCTTTTTTTCTTACATAAAAACTTTGCCAAATTTAGAATGATTTTGTTCTAAACGTTCCCACAAAAAATATATATCTTAAAATATAAACTCGAACCATAAAACATTATGACTTCCTGTTGCAAAAATGTTTAATATATTAATGAAATGATTATAAACATTTTGTTGAAGTTTGTTGAAAGAGAAAATAAAATTATATTGGTATTTTAATAAACAATTAATATTTAAAAAAAAATTAGTGCACTTGGCCTCTTGAATCATTTCGCATCTCCTAATCTAAATTCTTGGCACCACCACCGCCGATAAACATTGTTATGCTTAAGATTTTCGGTCATTCCACTGATAGCCAGAAATCTCACTCAGACCAGCATATTGACGAATTTTAGAGCTTTGAAAACACTTACCAGATAGCAAGACTAGATCCTTGAGATCAAGACCCTTATTAACAAAAGATGTTTGGAGGGCGGAAAAGTTGAAATTTGGAGCTGGAATATTAGCTAAAGCTTCAGAAGCATTAGAAATTGTTCCATCTCTTCGACCAGTTGGTACTTTCCAGTAGGGACCTCCCTGATGAAATCATGAAAAACAATGGAATAATTGAGCTTACATTAGTCGAATCGTGTAAGTTATTCCGATGACCTAATTATATATGGAGGACCGGTGCACTTACTGTAACCACAATTGAGTCTCTAGCAACCAGAGCAATAATATCTGCGCAAGAAACTACTCCAGGGCACTCTGCTTCAATGAGGCTCTTCACGCTGTCAATGAAGCCAAAACCTCTTAAGGTTTGATTAGGAACCGCGGTTTTCTCCGTTTGATTTCCTGAGCTCGATGTGAAGTTCAGTAAAACAGATGCATCACATCCCTGCATATACATACAAAGAAAGACACATTGGTCCTTGAAAATGGAAGGAAAAAAAAAAACACACACACACACACAAAGACAGAGTTGATTGCTGTCATTAGATTTAGATTAGGCGAAATTGGGAGACTTACTCTCACAAAACAGTCATGGAAATGCATTCTGATAAATGTGGCTGCAAGTGTTGGAGCATTTGGAATGTGCTCATGAACATAGTCAAGCACAATTTTCTCAGCTTTGGGACATGTTTCAGCATAATAATTCAACTTCAGATCAGCCTGAGAAGAGCTGATGACTCCTGAAAGAGCCATTACTACAAACAAAAAGTAGATCAAGGTCTGCATTTTGTATGACTATGTTGGAGAAGAATAATGAAAGCCTTGCTCAAGTGAAATTTGATTTACACACTTTAGTCAGAATTCCCCATGTCAAAGAATCAAATTTATAGGCACTAGCAAGTAGCTAGGTATCCCCCAAAGCAATAAAGTGATCACATCTTTTGTTCTAATACATGTATATTATATCCATACACTTCATAAGAATAGTTTACATTGTCTTTACAATTTGAAGCTAAATTATTTTTGTGGGATAGGAAAAATAATATTTTTTAATCATATCGAATCAATAGCCAAAATAGCCATCGGACAGGGAATGACAATTTTTTTTCCACATCTAACCACGTGTGTTTGTTGCAACTTTTCTTTATTATTATTATTATTATTATTATTATTATTATTATTATTATTATTATTATTATTATTATTTTACCAAGAAAAGGATTAGTTACGATTTTCCTCGGCTTGACGCATGCCTTATTGAAGAAATTAGTTATTGTTCATTTTGGAGCTGGTTAGCTTTACTTTTCCAGCCTTGTCTTCTGTATATCATAGGATTAGGTGTTAATTGATGAATGGAATAATAGTTCTCATCCTCAAAACTAACTCTTTGGGCGGCATTACCGTTCAGCCCGGAGTCTTTAGGATGAGAGTTCAATTCTATAATACTACTTTCTAGTTTCTAGCAATACGTCTTAGATGATGTCAAGAAACCGACCATATGATTTTTACCATCTAGTTTTATTGTTTTGATTGTGTAGAGATTTATCTAAGTCAGGAAGACAATTGGATGGTTCAAGTAAATATAACACAGTCGTGAGAAACATCCATATTGATTCAAATAAAAAGTGCTTTTCTTTCCTTAAATAGTTATACTACGTAAGATTACACAATTTGACTCTTTAACTAGATAATCGTCTAAATGTTTTAAACTAGAAAAATGCGTACTTAATTAGGGAGCTAGAATTGTATCCAGATCCCCTTGTAAGCTTGATGTATGCATAATGTTCAAGGTAAAATTAATTAAGAAAATGGTTAGGGGATTAATCTTTGAATTATAGTTGCAAGAACGAAAGGTAGATATGGATGTATCCTTCAAAATTTTGGTTGAAGGCGGCTATGTAGTACACAATGATTATGTTATATAGTATACTTTTTACCTTCTCCTCAATAATTTGAAACCTGCTACCACCTTTTAGCAGTTAACCAGGTCAAGGGTATGAAATATACATGAATGAATATTGTGGCATATTCTCTAGTGAGATACTACCAGATAGGGCTATATAGAACTGTTACACTAGCTAAATTAACTTGCTACACTTTTTTGGATTGGTTTAGGTGATTTTGGATTGTCCCAAACACAATGTCAATCGGGCATTGGATCCCAAATTTTGTGTATTTTCAAAGAATGTACAAGAAAAAACGAACAGCCACATGTGGTCTTAACACAAACAGACAAACAAAATGTGGCTTGGAGAGTCTCTTTGTTGGTCATAAATATATAAATCTAAACAAACTATTTCAATAATATTCCAGTAACATTAGCACGAAACTCGTATACATTTGAGTCGTGCACGAATGTATATTAAGCAAGTTTCTTTGTTTGTGCACAAGTCCTATCTTTTTTTAATTCAACAATCTATTTATTGTTGATTAAATCAACATTATTTCAAAAGATTTTTATTTTTAAATGAATTTTACTGAGACTATTAAGTTTGTTTTAATTGAGTGTCTCAAAGTTTTACTAAACTTGTGAGATTAAATTTTGAGAAAGGTTTATAAGATAGAATTTGACTTAGTCACTCTTACTTAGTCTATTCCCAATTCTATTTTAACATCAAAGATTTGTGGAGATATTTTGTCCTGTTAGTTACACTTGAACTAGTAGATTTTACTACTCCCTCTGTCCCATAATTATTGTCCAGTTTTACTAAAATGAAAGATTTTATTTTTGGTCAAACTTAACTATATTTTATCTTAAACAACCGGATATTACCCTACATAAATAATTGTTTAACCACTAAGATTTTATGGATAATGTTTTTTACTAAGGACAGATGTGTAATTTGATCCATAAAAAGTCAAATTGGACAATAATTTTGAGACAAAATTTTTTAGCCAAAGTGGACAATAATTATGAGACGGAGGGAGTATATTTTTGAGTAATAATAATATACCATTATTTTTCTATGAAAAGTATCATATGTTTTAGTTTTTCTGTTTTTTGGTATATTAGGTATTCGGAGTCCAAATTCATTGGTATCATATTTTTTTCCGTTTTTGGTATATAGTACATCTGGTATTTGAAATCATTGTTCCAACTAATACGTCTTTGAACCGGGTTGTTCACTTTTGGAAGACAAACCTCTCCCAACAATCATTACTAAATGTCCATGCATAGATTTAATCATGGATTGTAATTAACTTGGGCCAATGTTGTTACCACTTTGATCAAGTACTTCTTAGCCATATAAGGTATTTTCAAATACAAATTAATATGTTCAACTATCTAATATACTTCTTGTTTAGGAGTGTTAGTATATATAAAAAAAAAATTCTAAATACGAATCAATAAGATCAATTGTCTACTATCCTACTTTTTTAGGAATATAAGTATATAAAAGTTATTTTCAAAAATAGAAATTAAATCATGTATATTTTTAAAATATATTGACTGAAAATCATATATTGTTTACTTGTAGTAATTGAATCAAATATTATAAATAATTTTTTTTAGGCATAAAGCAAAATTTTAAAAAAAAAAAAAGAAGAAAATTTCAACAAAAGTAAATAAAGTACAAAAAATAGGGGGAAAAATCATGACAAAAAAACTAATAAATAATATTTGAAATACTTATCCATACTCCAAACTTTTTCTTTTGTTTTTTTAATAGCAAAACACGTGTCTGGCGGGTGCAGGACTTATTTTATTTATCTAGACTCATAACTTTTTCCCTAGTTATGAGTGCTTTTCGATGTACTTATTATTTTGGTATCACGGTTTCACTCTTCTCTTGTAAAACCAAAAACACATAAATAATCATGCACTTATAGTAAATATATTTAACTATTAATATCTCAAATAAAGTATATATTTACCTTCAGACTTTAGAATATGAGTAATTTCGTTTTAGTATATCTGGCTCATTTAGACCGAGATTGATGCATAACTATTTTTTAGCTAAACCCATTGAAATTCTATAATAGCAACGGTGCGCAATATACCAAAATGAGATCCTCATGATTGTTTAAAAATAAAACCATCAATACTCATAAATATTTGTCGATGACATACAACAGAAATAATCCCTAATATGGAAAATATAATGCATGTTCTAAAAATGATGTCTCCCCTCTAGAAAAGAAAAGGTATGTCAGTAGTACTAAAATTTTCCTTATAAAGTCAAAGTTTAAAATGCAAGATAAAATAATTAGTTAACAGTTCAAAGGGATAGATTTTTTCTATTGATGAACCTTTTGCAATTAACGACCACATTTCCCATTATTAATCATAAATTAGATGGAAGGTCGTCCACAAGTATCCACACTGGAATAAGCTAACGAACCTTTTTCAACACAAGCAATTAAGAAATCAAGTAAAATTCTAGCAATCACTCTAAACACTGAGTTAATAATAATATTAAAATACAACTTACCATGTCAATTGAAACCCATCATACTCCCTTTTCGACCAACAAATGAAAAATATCCGTCTAGAATTACAATTCAACAAAGATAGATGTCGGTGTATATCTTTCAGACAAAAAAAGAAGATTCAGATCGAAGGGGAAGAGGGAGATGGAAGAGATAGAGGATGAAGGGGAAGAGAAGAAGATGAGAGAAACAGAACGTAACCTCTTTATTTTTTTTAGTGACTGATCTTTTTTATTTTTGATAAATATATCAAATAGAATTATGTGAAAAATAATATTAACCTACGTTTAACGTATTCAGATTTGGTTGTAAATTGTATTGTAAAAAAAATTATTTGGTACTTAGCTCTTTTTATTTTTGGTAACCCAACTCTTTTTGTTTTTGAAAAATACATTAAATGGAATCATCTTACAAAAAAATACTAACCAACATTTAACGTGTCCGGACTTAGTTTCGAGTTGTATTCGTAAGATAATAATTTGATAACTAAATCTCGTTTATTTTTATAACTAATCTTTTTTTTTAATTTTTGATAAATATATCAAATGAAATCATCTGAGAAATAATATTAACATATGTTTAATGTATCTAAATTTAGTTTTGAATTGTATTCATAATATAATATTTTATAACTAATCTCTTTTTATTTTTGAAAAATATCTCAAATGGAATCATGAAAAATAATTTTAATCCAAGTTTAATAGATATAGACTTGGTCCCAATTGTATACACACGTAGTATAATCATTTGCTAACTAATTTCTTTTTAGTTTTTATAATTAAACTCTTTTTATTTTTGAAAAAATATCAAATAAAATTATTTAAAAAATAATATTAGCATAAGTATGATGTATCTAAACTTAATTTCAAATTGTATTCGTAATATAATGATTTGGCAACTAATCTTTATATTTTTTATAAATATTTTTTTTTGAAAAATATATCAAATGAAATCATTTAAAATAATACTAATATGTATTTAATATGTCTAGACTTAGTTTTGAATTGTATTCGTAATATAATGATTCGGTAACTAATCTCTTTATTTTTGTAATTAATCTCTCGAAATATATCAGATAAAATGTTTTGAGAAATAATATTAGTCCATATTTAATTAATCCAGATTTAGTTTTTGAATTGTATTTATAACATAATTATTTGTAATTAATCTCCTTTTATTTTTTAAATTAATCTCTTTTTATTTTTTAAAAAATATATTAAATGGAATTATCTATAAGATAATATTAACCTATCTTGCATGTATAGAGACTTGGTTTCGAATTGTATTTGTAGTATAATTATTTGGTTTGGAGAGTCTCTTCGTTGGTCATAAATATATAAATCTAAACAAACTATTTCAATACTATTCCAGTAATATTACTATATTAGCACGAAGCTCGTATACATTTGAGTCGTGCGCGAATGTATATTAAGCAAGTTTCTTTGTTTGTGCACAAGTCCTATTTTTTTTATTCAACAATCTATTTATTGTTGATTAAATCAGCATTATTTCAAAAGATTTTTATTTTTAAATGAATTTTACTGAGACTATTAGTTTGTTTTAATTGAGTGTCATAGTTTTACTAAACTTGTGAGATTAAATTTTGACAAAGGTTTATAAGATAGAATTCGACTTAGTCACTCTTACTCAGTCTACTCCCAGTTCTATTTTAACATCAAAGATTTGTGGAGATATTTTGTCCTGTTATAGTTACACCTGAATTAGTTATCCAAAGTCTATAAATAGGAGTACTCACTTTGTCAATTTTTTTAAAATGGCTCGAAACTCCTGTCTGGTTGGTGTTTTTATATAATCCCTTTTACCCTATTAAAGAAGAATACAGAATGTTGATGTGGCAACTTCTTATTAAAACTTTTTGGCTCCAAATGCACCATATTGCATTGATCATTCTGCCACGTGTCATCCCCTTTTTAAAAGAAAAAAAAATCTTATCCCGAGAAATAAAGCTACTTTACAAAAATAACTATACAATTTTAACTCCTAACATTTATCATTTATCAATCAAATTAAAATAACATTTAAATTTGTCTATAAACTTATCCCCTTTATTACTCCACATTCTTTTGTATGATTTCTACATCGTTGTACTTTTTAATATTTTTTTGCTTTGACAGATGATTTTTTATTTTTATTTTTATTTTTGTCTAAAAAAGGAAAAAAAAAAAACCAAATGTGTAGTTATTTTATTTTTTCCAAATCAAGAATTTATTTATCTATTAACACAAAATTAAAGTAGAGGGGCGCCCGGGCATCTGCCTGGGCCAAGCATCTAGTTATGATATTATTGGAGTAACTTATTCCAAGGATATTCATGTTTAATTCTAAGGATTGAGCCTCTCTCAATTGTAACAAAGGGGAAAAAAAAAAAAACCTTGATACATTTGGTTTTCTTCTTTTTCTTTATAAACTTCCGGTTCCGGTGTTCCCTTAAACACTTTTAAAACTTCGGCTTTTCATTTCTACAGAAAACAACAACAATATTTTTTAATTGTTTTCGTATAAAAGTGTTCTTTGCCTCCAATATTTTCTAATTGTTTCCGTATAAAAGCATTCTTGGTTCCGGTGTTCTATGGCTAGATACCGTTCCTCCTCCCTCTATTCATTCAAGAAAAATTCGTGCACGATCAAGTCAAGTATTTTGCTAATAGGTCACAGGTTCGAGTCACGTCGGATTAAGTGGAAAATCACTATTGATCCCTTTAGAAAAAATAAAAGAAAAAAAGTCAATTATTTCGCATTAACATTTTGGGCAATTTCTTCTACAATATTTATACGTATCAAATTAAAGTGAAACCTCTAAAAATTAATACACTGGGCCTTTCAAAATTTATTCATTTGTATTGTTATTAATTTATTAATAAATTAATAATTTATTAATTTAAAGAGTTATTTTAGTTTAGTTAATAAAAAATTATTATTTTTACATGAAGAAAAGTCGGTTGCATCATTTACATTATTAAATTTTTAATCGGAACAAAAAGATGATAATTGCAATTATCAAAAAGTACTTGAGTTAAAATCTAAATTAATTTTTAAATCTAATCTTTTATTCTGAATATTTATTAGTTTATGAAATTATGGGAACTTATATTTTGTATATGAGATTCTTGAAAAATTATTATTTTATAAATTAATCGAGTTTTTTTTTGTATTAGTCTCGAGTTGAGACCGAAAAAAAAAATTATTTAGTAGAGGTTATTAATTCATAGATACTTAATTTGAGGAGGATCTAATGAATATCATTTTAGCGACAATATACAATTTCTACAAGGGAAATTTGTTCATAATTTATGATTCTAGGTTTTAAGCATGATAAAAACTCAAATTGCTTCTAAGAGAAACAAAATGGATTTTTCTTTGGTGATTTGATTTGATGAGTTTCAATTTATAATCGTAGTTTAGAAATATTCATCGTTTCAAAATAATTGCCCTACAAAGATTTTCATTTTTAATATGAATCGTAATAGAAAAAAAAAAAAAAGAAAATCTAAACTTTGAGAATAAAGACTGAGAATAAACGCTTGAAACAAAAGCATCACCTGCCCATTTTTATTTGGCAAATGGCATTTCATTATTAATTATTGAAAAAAAAAATTGCTATAATCCAAGACTAGAAACACTTTTGGCATTTTCTTTTCCAAACGAAAACTGGAAAAGCAAAACAAGAATGAAAGGAAAGAAAACTCGGAAGCAGTGCACAAAACAGCAAACTTTTCACCAGATAGATTGGTTAAAGAGGTTCATTGTGGATCCATCTTTTAAACATGGCATTGCATTGCTTCGGCTTGTACTCTGGAGCAGTATGCCCACCACCCTGCAGAAACAAGGAAAAGACTTATAAAACCATCAATTACGTCATGTCGAGAAAAATAAAAAATATATACGGCGTGTGCATTTTCATTTTCACTTTTTGTTTAACGTTCCCAACACCTTTTTACATTTTCTAAACAGTTTTTTAGAATTTCAAATATTAAAAAAATGCTAAAGTCGACGTAACAATTGTTTTCAAGTATTTATGGATCATCTCTTACCTTCACCGTGGCAAAAGTCATGTTGTTCGCATAGGTCCTAGTAAAACTGGATATCAAAAGAAGAAAAGTGTATGAACTTTGAAGAAACAATTAAAAAGAAAGAAATGGAGTAGCTCTTAAAAAAGAATGCAGTATTCGAGCTTGGGACTAACCCAGCAACTTGGCCGTCATAATTCCAAGGTCGCCACTCCTCAACAATGCTGTAATTGAGAGACTTTATCCAATATTCAGTTGCAGTATACGGTACAAACATATCGTGATCGCCACTGATTAAAGGAGGTGAACAACATTAGTATGAGAATGTTAAATAATGAACTTGGTCAGTTCAGAGGATGTAAGAAAGTCACCTGTAAATTAGTGATCTGTACCCTTTCTTGCTAAGATATGCATGGTAGGGTACACTATTCCGAACTTTTACATCGTAGGGCAAGCTAAGATTGCATCTAACCCAATGAGCCCTCGTCCCCTGAGTTGAAATATGGACAAAAATGTGAATACATGAAGACAATGCACAAACAAACATCAGAGTTAACTTCACATTATATTTGGAGAAGATTTACGGTCTTCCATCCTAAACTTAAAGGAGTGTTACTGAGTTCAACGCTTCATGATAGATCAAGGTAACATGTGTTACCCGTATTCACAAAGTGCCTACAAACAGTTGATAGGTACAGTATGTTTGGAGCTAGGTGCCTTCAAGTGAGGTCCCACGTCCAACTTCAAGAAAACAGTTGAAGGCTTTACCCCCCCTTGGTCAACATGTTTATATACCTTTTTATGAGAATCAAGAACACACTGGTTTCATCCTATTTCTCAATTTCTTTCCCGGCAAATGGATCATTGTACACAACACATGTTCAGTACCATTTATTCCTAGTTACTGAGTTGTTATGACTAAAATGTATTACCACTGTCCCAAAACATAGTCCACATTGAGTTTTCAAATTTGTACTGAGTAGTGTAAATACCAAACTCAATGTGGACTATATTCCGAGACAGAGGGAGTAGTATTCAAGAAAAACTGAACCACAGATCATTAATAGATTATCAACTGTCTTTGCTCAGCATAAAAAAAATCATTTCCTGAAAACTAGAGTTTACGTACCTCGCGGATACGAAGTGCCTCTCGAATGATATCCTGGTTGCACCAATATGCCATCAACCTGTAACCGTCACACTGCAGAAGATGGAACACAATGAATGTTTAGTATGAAAAACAATGAAAAAGATCTTAAGTAACCCCATGATACATCTTTAATTTTATAATGACTTTCCTATCATTAAAGTAGCAAAACAATTATTTATCACATACTTGTCTGCAACAAGCCAGCAAAAATCACACCACGGAATTCAAATGTATGCATTAAAACTAAAAAAAAATGCAAAGACCAGGAGACAGATCCTGGTAAAATGAGAACCTCCCAAGAGGCTGCATATGGTTTGATTGAAAGCAGTAAACATATCTCCAAAGAAGATTGTGCAGACATCAATACAAGAACATTTGAGGTTTCAAGCTACAATTTCATCAGAATCAAAACTTAAAAAATTTAGATTCTTACACGAAATTTATACCCACGATGCCTATTCAGCTCAATCAAATTGTCACCAACAGACTTGCCTCCTCCTTTGTAGAACATTTTTAGCATAACCGCATCAGCATAGGGACAATGAGCTTCTAAAATATTTGGATACTCGATATTTTCAACCGTCTGTAAAAGTGAAGAACTCAATTTCACATTTCTTGATACTCACAATATGATTCCATAAAAGGGATTATTTGATATTATAGCTAGAGAAGGGGATCAGTACTGACCTTGTTAAAATCTACCATATTATAGTAGCATGGAGTATTGTTTTTAGCCATACTGAAATAATCATCTCCTTTGCAGTTCTTTTGCACAGCCTGTACAAGGAAGTATAAGCATTTCATAAATAAATGTAGAGAGAGTAAGGGGAACAAAAGGACTCGGAAAGTATTTAAGGTGAAAGAAACATCACCTCGTGTAGTTCATCAGGAATTAGCCCCATCCTGTGAGCAAATGGAACTACAAAGCTACTTTCAGCAGGGCTGCGTGTTACAGGGTTCCCAAGCAAGTAACCCTATAGCCATTGGCACGTACGTTAGCAACTTTCTTGTACAGTTAAAACATTTTTATACACCCACAACGTAAATATCTGAGGATTGCAAGCAAACTTTCTTCTAAACATTCTCTCAGCATGACTATACAACAGTTTTATCATTGACATGTACAGGTGATAAGCAATTAAGTATTAGATGCTAGAAAAATACAGAGTGAAGACTAGTTGTAAGTTGTAACTAAGCAGACTTACTAGTTCAGGGGCAAATACATTATACAAGTTAAAGTCCTCATATGAATTGATATTCAGATCAGAAAGTTGAAATAATGGAAGAAAGATGGCGTTTTTCCAATTTTGTTCCATCCAACTCTAATATGGAAATGGTTCCAACTCAAAAGAGGAAAACCACCCAATTGTTTTTATAAACAGCAATAAGAAATTCCTAACGAGGATGTAGCCTTATTTTTTTGACTTATAAGTCTGACTAGAACACATGCAAAATTTACAAACCTTAAGATTAATAGATGGCTCTACTCCTTCATTTCCTGCAAGGTCAAGACAACAAAAAGAGTGTAACCCCAGCGCAATTCTTATTCATAATACTGGCATTGGATCACAAGAAAGTTTGTAGAAGTATTGGTCAAACAGATATGAGAAAGTAAAATGTGGAGTTGAACAATACCGTCAGATATAGCTCGCGCAAGCAACGGGACAATTAGTCCTGAAAATGAGTCTCCAGCAATATAGAACTCATTTGTTGCGAGGTCAGGGTGATCCACCAGGAACTAGATACCAAATGATATACACACAGTTGAAGGGTCAAATATTAGGATAACAAAAATGTCTGAACCCAAACATTAAATGATCAAGAATTCATCAGAAACAATGGGAGTTACCTTCTTAAGAAACTCATAAGCTTGATCACGTGATTCTAGATCAGTAAGGTGAAGAGCTTCTGGAGTTCTTGCATATGAAAATCCAGTGCCAACTGGCAAATCTAGAAAAATTATGTTTGCCACCTAAAACAGAAAAACCCGAGGTCACTTTTTTAGGTATAAAACAAACTATTTCTTCCACAAGGCCAATTATTCTCAAGATTCATCAACGCATTACATTACCTGTGTCCATGCATTGGGATTCAATACCAACCTAGGAATGTCATTAGTGTACTCTTTTGTAGCCTCAAACATTACGGGTCCTGCAGAAATTTGGTTGAACCTAGTCACTCTCTATATAAGTTATATAAGAAATGTAACTTCTTTTGACCCTGATGTCTCACTTCGAGAGGCAACTCTTACTCTACTATGAGAAATTGTTCTCGATTCTATTTATTGTGTATGAACCATATTCTAAATTACATGACAAACAGAAACATAAGACTAAGCTGCTTGTGGGTTAAGTGAACTACAAGACAAATGAGCTGATATATAAGAGATTGGACACTAAAATTCAAATGAACGTGAACTCACCAATCTCAAAGAGAAATCCAAGTAAAGCACTACATCCAGGCCCTCCATTTATCCAAACCAAGAGAGGATCCTTATCTGGATTATTTGATTGAGATCTAACGAAATAGTGGAAGAGCTGCACATCCTCTGACTTGCCAACTCCAGTGTACCTGCCAAAATGCCAATTAAAAACCCCCTTACACAGAATCCTCTCAAAAAATTGAAAAACTAATACCAAAGCATCCAAGGATATAATTAACTCAGTTCTTTAATTAGGGAGACTAAACATCTTATCTCTTTTGAAAGATTCCTACTCGATTCTAGTTCTTGCTAAGTTCTACCCTGCTCCAAAATTCGCCAAACTGCATCAAAATCGTCATCCTAATAAATAGCTAACAGCAATCTAGTGAAATTCACTTAGTTGAAAACAGTATCCTTTGAGAATAATTTAGACTCTAAGACTCAAGTTCAAAAGTACAAACATGAGAACAGGGTAATATTTTGTAACCGAACTGCCATATTTGATTAGCTAAGAATCAAAAGAAACACAAACTTTTAGATCTTACAGAAGAAACCCATCTGAATACAAGTTGTTACTCAATGATTGACTAGCTTGGTATACATCAAACATAATGGAGCAATCTAAATCATCAAATCTCTAGTTTTCCAACTTCAGTACTTACCCAGTTTCCAGCTCAAAAGGTAGTGGGCCTTCAAAACCAGGAAGACGCAGTATTCGATTTCCAGCAGCCAATGCAAACTTCGGGGGAGAAGAAGAATAGTGAAGACACAGTAACACCAGCAAGAAACCGAAGCACAAATTTGGCTTTCCCATTTTTTGCTTGCTGTGAGTTCTGAGTAGAGCGAAATGATTGACCAAATATGGCTCATAATTATAAATAAATAAATAAAAAACAAAAAAAATTTAATTGTAAATGCCAAGTGGGTCAAATAAAATAATTTCACCAAGCAGCCATTGGATCCAAGATGTGCTTGAATAATCGTCTTTTGAACTTTGCGAAATCTAATTAAAATACTCATTTTAGAATAAATAGAAAATATATCATATAACTGGTGTTTAAATTATTGTCAGAGTTTAAAATTATATTCAAGATTGATATGTCTCTTTCAGAGTCATAACCCGCTAAATGAACACCTCGTTTTCATTTTGGTTCCTTTTGATAATTGAGTTTCACGTTGTTGATTGTAGACTGCTAGTTAGTTAGCACATTCTGGTAGGTAGACTGCGATTGTGAAATGAAAGAAGAAGAGTTAGGTAAAGAATTTTTTCGAGGGAAAAAGAATAGATATTACCATTTCCCCTGCACCGCCCAATGTTTTGGCCCATTATCAAAAAGGACCTCAAGCTATTAAGAATTCTAAGAAAAACAACCCTTCATCTCCAGCCATGAAAATTGTCATCAGTATTCACCTTAGAGCAGTCCAAAAACGGAGTTGGCACTATTGTTTCACCTTAGGATGCTTTCTTTGCACCGGAAAGGGAATTGATGTATCGAAATCTCATTACGTTTTCCATCATTATAATGTTCAGTAAAAAAATAAATGACAGGGAATTAAATTCTAAATTAATATGCTAATGAGATAGAAGCAATTTTATACATTTAATATTTACTAAAAATATTTATCTCTAATTAAATATAAATTTTAAAAGACTACTTTTACAGCCCAAGAAACTCCGAATTTTTTCCTTAAATATATATGAAAAAAAAAAACCTGGACAAAAATAAAGCTTTTTAAAACCTTGTGGACAAATTTATATGCCCCGGATTTAGGAAATCTGAATGGGGGGAAAACTCGGATTTCGGAAATCCGACCCCAACTCAACTCGGATTATTAAAATCCGACTTTGTGTTACGTAAATCCGATATTAAGTTAATGACAAAAATTAGTGTAATTAATCTAAATCCGGATTTTATAAATCCGTTTTTATGAATAAAATATTAATTTCCGGATAGAGAAAAAATAATGTGTTGAAAAATTAAATTTGGGCGTAACTCGGATTACGAAATCCGAATCGCTCTGTTTTCGAAAAATGGTGACTCCCAGTTGGCCACGGACTCGGATTTCAAATCCGAATCCTTTACAAAAGTCTGGGTTCGGATTTCGCAAATCCGAGTCTTTGTCGAATCGAAAAAAATTGGGTGATTTTCACAAGTCCTAAACATGTTTACAAGACCAACAACAATGAAACATTGGAAAATAGGAATTTAATAACAACAAAACAATAAACGGCATTCGATTAACAACAAAATAAATCAAGTTTCATAAAAAGTTCAATACAAAAACTACTATAAATGTCCAAAATAATGAAATGTCTCATTTTTCCCTTTTCCTTTATTGTGTGCATCCGAGTGTATTTGTTTGGGCCTGTCGGATCTGTCTCCCTCTTAAGATATGTGAGTATTGAACTTTGGTGTGGTTGCGTTGTCCACCAACCGAGCCTCGATTTGGGGTTGAGATTGGGACTCCCCATGGTGATAAATTTGACTCCGGTTGTGGTTGCATTGTCCACCAAACCGAGTCTCAGTCCACCAATGTCAAACCGAGTCTCGGGTCCACCAATGTCAAACTGAGTCTCGGGTCCACCAGCTTCTTCAAAATGAGTCTCGACCTGGATGCGCGAGCCTCGAGAGGAATGTGCTTGATCCTCATTTTGTTGACCCTCAGTTTGTTGTTGCGATTTCCGAGGGGGGATTGTGACCTTTCTCTTTCTTCCTCCTCCAATCTTATCTCTTGACCACGGTTTCGCTTTTTTTCCCGGCGGAGATTGTGAGGGCAAAAATGGATCTTCATCAACCAGGATTTGGGTATCATCCACCTCCATCTCATCATTTGCGCCCAAGGTTAAAGCAGTATGAGTTTGATTGATGATATCGTCCAAATGCTTGTCAAGTTCTTCGTCTAGGAGATTATCATCTTCTCGTTTTTCTCTAAACCTCTCGGTACTCTCGCGAATGTTGTTCAATACTTCATCCTGAAAAGAAATTGGGACGTTAATTAAGAGAGTAAAGTTCTAAAAAAAAAATGAAAAAAAAATGGAAACATAAGAAATAATAAAAGAAATCTACAATTAACTCACATATAATTTCACGCGGCTCGAAGAAGTCTCATATCCTTGAGGTTCATAATTACCGGGATTGGATATCAATCTGACAGTGTTCACCATGAACCATTCATAGTACCCCTCATATACGGAACCAGGATCTCCTTCCTCCAAATCTCGTAGCACGAACTCTTCTCTCCTATTCCAATGACGGCGTACTGCGGAATGGTGATCCTCCCAATTATTGCTAGGATACCCAGACATACTGTGGGGGTGATCGAGAAGGAATGCTGCGTTATCTTTTGGGAACATTCTGTATATATCCAAATTGTCTTACGACTCTGCCCGACTCGTGGGGTTCCCTAATAGCCCAACAGAACATCCAACACCTAGTCGTCCAAATGGCTTGGCCTTGTGTACAGAAATCAGGGAGTCTATGGAGGACATGTGCATATGGTTGCCACTGAAACTGCACGAAAGAAATTTCATTAGATGGTACAACCGAAACCAAAAGAAAGGGGTAATTGATCTCAAAGTAAATATAAATACTAAATTACAAGTACTTACATCTTCAACACGCAGACTTGTTAATTGATCTCTAAAAGGTGGAGTGCTGCTCCTTGGGGCGTCGCCGTACGTGTACCTACATTCCCACCTAAATAAACAAAGGGGTACATTTGAATTAGTGAAATAAATGAATAAGAAACAAATAGAATTAAACGTTGAGTTATTTTGAACTGAAAATACGTACCGCTGAGCTAATGGAGCGGTCTCATCAAGCAAATAATCTACTCCTTTTCTTTGGGGCGCGATCCTCTCGATCCGCTTATATGCCCATACCTAGTAAATTGCAATAATAATGTAGAAACTTCAAATTAAAACGTCGAAAGTGCAAAATAATTAAAGCACAAAATGAAAACTAATACGCACCTGTAGCAAATATAGACACCCGGTGGCGTCGTGCATGGTATACTATGATGCCTCGCATAGGCCAAAGTACAACCCAGCCAGCAGTGCCGATCCCCAACTATATCGACTACACTGATCCAAATCCTCAACCTGGGCCAAGAACTGTAGATTGACAGTGTTCTGCGTCTTGTTCGGAAACATGAAACTGCTAATAAAATGCAGTATAAGTGTCCTGGCCCTTTGCTCGAATCGATGGACAGTGGAATTTGAAGGTAGTGCACGGCCCATCTCATCTTCGAAAATACCAACATTGACACATTGGCCATTTACGATCGCCGGCCGGAATCCCAAATAAGCCTCACATCGATCCCTCCATTCATCCGTAGTCCGGCTAAGCTGTCGTGCCGTACACCGGTCACCATCCACCCGAATACCAAACAGGACCTCGACGTCCCGTAGCGTCACCGTCGCCTCTCGAAATTAAAATGGAAAGTGTGGGTTTCGGCCTCCACCGTTCCACCAACGCGGTAATGAGGCCTAGATCAACTCTTTTGTACCCTACCTTCATGATCCCCTCAAAACCGGCTCTCCTAATGACTTCCTTAACCTCCGGTGCCGTATTTTTATATAACGCCCAAAATCGCTGTCGTACCTACGGCCCTTGAGGCGGAATGTCTTAATGTCCGGTATCCTGTTCTCATAGACAGCTTGGGACCTATGCTTTGTTTGACGATATAGCATTTTATCTTGTATAGGTCCCGGGTGAAGATGTTTAGGTTGATAGTCATATTGGGAGCCCGATGCCGGCGTCGCCATTTCAATCCTACACAAGGTAACCAAAAAAAAACAAATCAACCAAACCATAAACATTCGGCCAAATAAACAATACTAGCAAACCATAAACATTCGGCCAAATAAATTTAAACAAGACTACCAAACCATATACATTCGGCCAAATAACAAAACTACCAAACGATGTACACTCGCCCAAAAAAAATAAATCAACCAAACTTCAAATTATTCGGCCAAATAAACAAGACTACCAAACTATATACATTCGGCCAAATAACAAAACTACCAAACGATGTACACTCGGCCAAAAAAACAAATCAACCAAACCATAAACATTCGGCCAAATAAACAAAACTACCAAACTACTATATACATTCATAATTCACTATTTACACAACGATAATCCAACAGAAACACTATATCAACACCACATCTATAAGCAATTCACAATAGACACAACTTAAATTCAATACAAACACTATATCAACACAAACCAACCACAATTCAAAAAAAAAAAAGGACTCGGATTTCACAAAGAAAAAAAAAATTTGACAAAAAGAAATAAAGAGAGGATCGCGAATCAATAACTTACAGTGAGGAATGGAGGAAGTCGGGAGGAGTGGAGGAAGTTGCCGGAGGTGGAGATAGTCGGAGGGAGTCGCCGGATTGCAAGGAACCTCGCCGGATTATCCAGAGGGAGGAGAGACGCCGGATTGTCCAGAGGGAGGAGAGACGCCGGATTCTGGAAATTGAGTCGCCGGAATGCAAGAGGGTCGCCGGAAATCACGGAGGGAGTGGAGGGAGTCGCCGGATTGAGTGGTGGGAGTCGCCGTATTTTTGTTTAATTGGAGTTTAGTTTTAGGGTTTTGTTAATTCTGGAATTGGGGGAAAAATGGGAAGGGAAGAGTTGACCGAACAATATATAGTCCCGTCAAACTCGGATTTGCTAAATCCGAGTCTTTCCTGTTTCCCTCAAATTTCAACTCTCGGATGGTTTCACAAACACGGATTTTTGAAATCCGAGTCCTTTGCAAATTAAAAATAAACTCTGAGTTCGGATTCGCGAAATCCGAGTTAGTATTGTTTCTTCTCAAATTTCAACTCTCGGATGCTTTTCACAAACACGGATTTCCTAAATTCGAGTCCTTAGTAAATTCGAGAAAATCTCTGAGCTCGGATTTATAAAATCCGAATTTCCCCTGTTTCTCCTCAAATTTCAACTCTCGGATGCTTTTCACAAACATGGATTTCCTAAATCCGAGTCCTTTGCAAATTCGAGGAAATCTCTGAGCTCGGATTTATAAAATCCAAATCTCCCCTGTTTCTCCTCAAATTGCAACTCTCGGATGGGTTTCACCTATTCGGATTTCGGACATCCGAGTCCTTTGCAATTTCAAAAAAAGACTCTGAGCTCGGATTTCTGAAATCCGAATCCTTCACAAAACCTTACAATGATGAGTATTTTGCACAATCCGATGTACTGTTATGAAAAATAGTACATATTTCATCACACTTTACAATCCGAAAAATTCAATGTTCACATTACAATCCGAATTTATCAATGTTCACATAAATTTATCAAACACTAAATAACTTGCAAGAACAGTAAATTACACTCAATTCCAGCTGTCATTCACAGGTCTTCTATCTACTCCTGGGTGCGAGAACGGACAAGAATTGGCATCATGACCTAGTTGTCCACATCTCCAACATTCCCCCCGGCTCCGGCGTCCCCTGTAATCCATTTGCATTCTATGTCTCCTTTTTTGTCTTTGTTCCGGTCCCGCATGCAACACAAGACGCTCATAATCCGGAATGATGTTCCAATTGACCATCGGCCATTGTTCCTCATCGGGAACCGGAACAAAGCCCGTGTAATGAAATTGTCTGCGCCACGTTGGAAGGCGCCACACACTATGGTATAGATCAATAGGCCGATCCCCTTTTCTCCGACAAACTTGGAGTGCGTGCGTACCAGGCATCCGGTACTCTTGCCACTTCCTACACGAACACCTATGTTCATCGTAGTTCACCGTATGCAGAGACCCACCCCTGCCACTTAGGCGTGTGGCGTAACAACACGCCACATAGCATCATCACCATCGAAAGGGTGGCTTCAAAGCTGGCTGCTTTATCATTCATTTTCTCGTATTTTTTCCATAACTCAGGAGGGATCGGTGTCATGCAATTTCTCGCAGACAATTGTTCTTCTCTATAGAATTTAACAGTTTTGCGAAAGGTTGCATCGATCAAGGCTCTAATTGGTAAAAAACGGATCCCTTTCAACGCATTGTTGTAACTCTCAGAAATGTTGGTTGTCGCTATGCCCCAACGGCGAAGACCGGCTTTCAATCGAGCCCAGTTACTCCCCCCAATCCCTCGAAGATACTCCCATGCAGCAGGTTTGAATTCAATAAGCTCTGCCCTCATACGGTTGTATTTCACTCTTGAAAGCGTCGTGCCCATCTTCCAACATAACCGCTTCACCTTTTTGCTATTATATCGCGACACAAAATTGCTGCGAACGTGGCGGAGGCAAAGAAAGTGCCCACCATCACCTAAATCACGCCATTCATCCATCTGTGACATTGCGCTCAACAACCCTGCATTCCGGTCGGATATTGCACTTACGATTCTATCATACACAACCCACAACCTCAAATTCCTCATAAAAAATGTCCAACTCTCTACTGTCTCCTCATCAACAATCGCAAATACAACCGGTAAAATGTGCTTGTTTGCGGTATATACCACCGCAACAAGCAGTTTACCCTTGTATCCACCACGCAAAAAGGTTCCATCGATACAAATGACCGGTGGACATTCAAAAAACGTCTCAGCCACCGGTGCAAATGACCAGAAGACGTATTTAAATGTCCGGTTTCCCCTGTTCCAACCTTCTTGTCCCTCCTTCCATTCCCACTCTACTACAGTCTCAGGATTAGTAAACTTAAGCGCAGCGATATACCTAAACAACAACAAGTCATTGTTAAAATATTTCAATATATGTAAAAATAAAAATACTATAAATATTTCAATACACGGATAAAAGTTGACATTTACCGTGGAAGTTCTTCGAAATTGGAGGTCCAATCACCATAGACCGCTTCTATGGCTTTCCTCCTCCCGTGCCACGCCCTTTTGTATGGCACATCTACTTTCAATAAGGTCTTCACATCTTTCTGTGCCGAGGCTACCGTATAATCTACGTTGTCCTCAACCTTTCTCCTGATGAGTCTAGCAATCAAAGACGCGTCCACACACCGATTGTCATTATCATTCACAGGAGTCATGCAATTATGTGCATCATGCCATCTCACAATTTCATGAAGGCCGTGAGCTTTCAATGACACACGCATCTTCCACTCACATAGTGGTTCACCATCCTCACTTTCCACATTAAATGTTCTGCACCGCATAGCCCACGTCCTTGGACTACTCGCGGCGACCGTATATTCCCTTTTATGATGGATATTCCATAATTTCACAGCATGCTTTGCTTCTGATTGAGATTTGAAACAAACACCAATGTCCATTCCTTCGGGCGTCTCATCCCACATCTTAAGAGCAAACTCATCCTTGTCTACACATGAGGCATCCCAGTTCCCCATCTTACTATATACATGGCGTCGGGCGAATAGATTACAATCCCTTTCCTCATTTTCCAACCTTTTATCATCACTTTCTTCAAAATCACTCTCTCCGGAGACATCACAGTCTTCTTCGTCACTTGGAGCTATGTAGTCGGAATCCGACTCTTCCCGGTAGTTATTTTGTGCAAATAAAGGTGTCTCCTCTTCATCACGGTTTCGAGAAGTACTAACACGTTCCCCCCTTCGAAAATCACCAAATGACACGTTTTCCAAACTTGCTTCTCTTTCTTCTTGAGTGATATCTTCCAAATCTATGTATAAATCCAAACATGACATTGGATCTACACGGTTCATGAACTCTACATGCGAATCATTCTTGATCTTCACTACACGCCTACCACCGGGACTATCGAAAATCAAAGAAAGGTGGAGTTTCACGTGTGCTGGATCCCAACCAAGGGTCATACAAATCTTACTAATCAATCCCTCATATGACAACCTTTCTTCGACAAAGAAACCATCATCCGGCATATTCGAAAAAGTGTTGATGCTACCGTTCTCTATCACATACTTACTTGTATGATACAAATTAAGCATGTATGATACATTACGTGCCATTGATAACTGTTAAAAAAAACATCAATAACTAATCATTTCTTAATAACAAAATCAACAAAATACACCATACATTCTCTAAAATACACCATACACCATACATACTCCAACAAATACACCATACTAAAATACTTATAAATCAACTTCGATATCTCATGAACAACTATGATTTCTCATCTCTAACCTCAAAATCAACACCTAAAACATCCAAACAACCAACCAACATAAACCCTAATCTATCATACATCATTCTAACAATCAAAATAACACAAAAATAAACTAAATAACATGGTTTTGCCATCTAACCTCTTTCAAATAACGATTTCCACGTATCTAGAGGTAAGAATGCATCAAAAACTTCAATTCGCCCTTGTTTGAGCTGCAAAAACAGAAAATCCAACTCAGTTCTCGAATGAGAACTGCCTGAAATTTTTTTTCTTTTATAGCACGTTAAACTCGGATTTACGAAATCCGAGTCCGTAAGTAACTCGGATTTTCGAAATCCGAACTACGTTAGATTCGGATTCCTAAATCTGGATTTAGTCAATTCAGGATTATTTTATTAATTTTTTGGTCCTCCAATTTAAGGCACATGCCTACTTCCACCAACTAAAATTAAAGGCATCCGGATTGCGCAAATCCGAATTCGTCAAACCGGATTACGGACTTCCGGTTTTTTGGATTCAAAAATTTCGCGCCGCGATTTATTAATTTTTAACTAAACTCGGATGTTACAAATCCGAACTTTACTGTTCATTTAAGAACTAAAAAAACTATTATTCAACAAAATTTATGAAATTATTATTTTATTATTAAGTATGAATCCGGATTTGCAAAATCCGAATCTCTAATTTTAATCGAAACTCGGATTTCAGAAATCCGAGCAATATAATTCTGTCCACAAATATTCTGAAAAATTTAAATTTGTCCACGTTTATTTTATTTAATTTTTTTTGGGAAAAAGCCCAAAAAACTCCCACCTCTATTCTCCTTCCCTTTTTTTTCCTTTTGCCTCCACATTTTTCAATATGATCGAGTTAATCTCCCTTATATATGCATTTCCCAATTAATCTTTCAACTCTTTCTCTTTCAAAAAAAAAAAAAAAAAACTTTTTTTCTTTGTAGATCAACAGAAAATTCTTAGAAAAAAGTTTATAAATTATTATATTGAGATAGTCATTCAAAATTGAAAATTTATTTTCTTTTTACAAAAAATAAATAAATAAATAAATCTTCTCACCTATCATCATCAATATCAAGACCAATAAAATGCTCGTCAAATAATATGCACGTGAAGATTAGTCAAATGATTTAGAGTTTGACATGTTTTTTTTATATTAAGTGTGTAGAGATTTTGTTATGTTTAAGATATTTAAAGATACTGCACTTTTGATGCTTCAACACTTGATTTTGCTTAATGAGTTGATTTTGCTCAAGAAATCAAACTTCACGGGCACACTATTTCAAAACTATGATATGTCTATTTATATTTTTTCTTATTCTTATAATGTGATGAAATATCGAGCAAATGAAGTACATCACTGCAGCCATGTCAGCAAGCCTTCTAATGACGTTTCTACTAATCAGCAACATCATCAGCAATATCAGTCACGTGCAAAATGTTGCTTGACTGTCACATAACTTCCATCACCGCAGCGTCAACCTTATAACCGCCTTCTGCAACTTGATGCTGAGCTGCAATTGCCAGCAACTTTCAAGAAGATTCGGGAACCGCCTTGAAGCTTCACAATGGCCTGATTATGTAAATAATAGGTGACTTGTACATAAAGAAGAATCTAGATTAGTCCTTAATGTGTAAATATCTAGACAGGAGATTTTGTATATGAGATGTATATAAATAGAGGATCATGTAAATCAAGAAAATTAAGAGAAAAATACAGAAAAGAAAGCTGATTATTTACAACAATGGCTGCCTTTCTTCCATTTTCCTAGGTCTCTTTCATTTCATTTTCTGTTTGATAGTATGATTCATGAAATAAATATTGTTCATTTTGAGTTTTATTTTTAATCGTAGTTCTTATTAAAAATTTAAGTTCATTAGAAAAATTATTATTTTTTACATTTTCATTGTATATTGAGCCAAAAAAAAAAACACCGTAATGGAAAAATATTTATAAGTTTTTAACATTTCTGAACATTGTAAACGGAATTTAAAATTCCTTTAATAATTTGACTTTTCTTGACCGGGAATGACATTACCATTCCATCATTCCCTTTCCGGTGCATAAAACGCTTAGATTATTTATTTTCATTTTTTTTATCGTATGAATTGGTACTTGTTTTCAAATTTCATGTATGGAGCTTCCGAAAAGGCGCAAATTAAAGTATTTTCAATTCATTTTATTTTTCTAAGTTTTTAACTCTTTAAAATTAGTATTGTACTTTGGATTGGGCTAAAAGCGCCACGAGACGGAGCACAAAATGAGGTGAAAACTGAAAAGAGCCAAAAATGCTTTCGTCAAAATGTGACCAACAGCCTCACATTTTGGGTAGTTGTAACTCAAGCCATAACTCGAATTTCGATTAACGAAGCTTGACTGCGAAGGTTGCAGTGTCGGCCTTAACTTTCATTCAGAAGTTTACTCTAAATTCCGAAGTTTTGTTGGTCAAAAATCCAGCCGAAGTTGGCTCATTGAACTCTTGAGAAAAATTGATCAATTGTTTGTTGAACCCATATCTGAAGTTTTGGAACTCTGTTTTGGGTCGTCAAGGTGCCTTTGTCAAAAGGAAAATGCAATCTCCAACTTCAATGCAGAAACCAGCCTAAATTCAGATCAGAAGTGGAATTGAACTGCCATGGAAATATGCCACTCGCAATAATGATTGTTTCTGCCACACTTGGAGATGGGAAGTACACCCAAGTGAAGTAGAAACTATCAACATGGTTTTAGTGGTTTATAGAAAATGAATACTTCTTGCTATTATTATGTAAACCAACATTTACACATCAAAGGTTCATCTTTTGGTCAACTTACACATTGAACCTCGAAGATTTAAGGATTCTAAAGATGGATAGCAGAAACACGGCTATTATGAGATGTAGCATTTTACTGTTGGGAATTGTAGCTCGGATTGTCATTAAACCGTTTCACTGGTGCTCTTAGAGAGGATATATAGCTTGCATCTGATTTATCAAGTCCCTCGAACAAGTAACTGAATGGTGGTGTTTTAATGAACTTGCCTGAACCAAGTTCAACCTTAAGTTCATTGTTTTCCCAAACGATCCTACCCCCTGCAATTGTTACCTCAACCTTGCCCTGCAAACCATCAAAAAATTTAAATTTCAGGGCGAATTCATTGAAGATATGAGAATGGAATCGATAACTTCAGGTATATGCAACAATTATACTTCTCCGAGGAACAGCCTTTTCTTTGGCTGCTGCATAGAAAATTATCAAAAGATTGATTTTAGATGGTATTTTCTCAGGCAAACAAATTAGGAATCAGACTACAGGGAATAGTAAGAGATGATGAACAGTAAATGGTTGAACAGATCAGTGGTGCATGCACCTGTGGATGTACTTCAGCCTAAAGTAAAATACATAATAAACAGATGGGCACTCTTCGGTGGGAGGTTGGATGAGATCGTAAAGTCATGGGATTGTACAATGAATTCAAACCTCATCAGGGCCAATTCAAAGGAAGAAAAAAGGAATACAAAAACCAAAACAAATAAACAAAAAAAAAAGAAAAAGAAAAAGAAAAAAGGAAAAAAGAAGGCATTCTGCTTGTTGGAACAAAAGTATTACCTTGCCAATCCGTCCCTCATAGACATTCGTATCTGATCTTGAATGGTGAGACCTTGAAGTTATCTCAAAACTTGAATTGGGATTTAATATAATTATATCCGCATCAGATCCAGGAAGTATTGCACCTTTCTTTGGGTAGATATTAAAGATCCTAGCACTGAAATATAATTTATTTCAAATGCAAGTTAAGATCCTAGCACTGAAATATAATTCATTTCAAATGCAAGCTATCCTGGTAGGGTAGAATCAAAAGAGAATATCTCTTACTATGAATATGTGTAGAACAAAATCCTAAGAGGCAAAGAAACTTTAATGAGAAACATACCATTCGGTGCTTGTCAACCGAACATAGTCAGTAACAGATATTTGTCCAGATGCCTGAGAAAAGGTTATTGATTATGAAAATCAATCTAATTTTTCGACCAAAAAAAAAAAAAAATCAATCTAATTTGCAAAGAACAACAACCGCTTGTGGCAACCAATCTGTTTCAGTTATTAGTAAACAAAGACAATGGAAAAGTACCAAGGATCAAGGAAGTCCAAGAGAACTTACCACCATTGTATCCCAAACCAAATGCATTCTCTCCTCAATACCTATTACAAATTCAAACTGAGCATGTCATCAAAGCATATACACTACTGATTTCCTTTGCGCAAGCAGGTGTGTATATGGGTATAAATGTAGAACCAAACCATTACCATTAACGCCATTTGGGATTTTTCTAAAATCATGCATTCCAAAAGCTTTCTGTGTCGAGTTGAAAGTGCAATGATCGGTTCCTACTAGCTGCCAAATATAAAACATCGAAAGCTTAGACTACAAGAACAGCATAAAGTAGACAATATTCATGATAACAAGTTAATTTCATAATATAGGTTTCTGCGATAGCGCTATAGATAATTTTCTTTTGTTTGCAGGTGGTGCCAGTAAATAAATTCTTAAGACAAACAATAACTCAACAGAGATGTAGACTCGATGCGTGATATATTTGAAATCCAGAAATGCATGACCAATCTTGCCTCCTCGGGGTGGAAGTAGTTGGTTATAAACGCAAATCAAACTTCAACTTCACAAATCTTATCTAGCCGTTGATTCAACATCTATTATTAATCTTTTGAGATCTTCATTTTAGTTTGCACTCCACTTTTCCCATCTTGACTGGTCCGGTATTTTCTTTAATGATAATGTATAATTATTACCACTTTACTATTATCAAGCCAAAAAGGCTCCTTAGGAGGTATGTGACAGACTACTGCTCTTAGCTGTCATTCTCAGTATCACAGGAGTCGCAGCTCAAGTAAATAGTTTTAACTATCGAAGAGTTTTATCAATTTATTGCCAAAGTATTCCGACTGCTACAGATGCTTAAAGTTTTAGTTTCTCACTATCTAGTGACATTTTACAACCAATTAAACTGATCCTTTGAGGATATTTATTGATTTTTTAGAAAGTCCAAAGATGCTCTATTTAAATTCTCATTAAACCAATATTTAAATTTTGCTGGATGTCCGAAGGTGGACGAGGATATTTACTGATGTTAAAACAAACCTCTCAAATTTTGTTCACTGTGGCACTTATACAGCACAAGTCATCCCTTTAAAATAAACTAATTCCATTAAATTGTGAAAGCCAATCTCTGATTGCTTTTAATATGTCAACAGTATGCAGTGTACTTCTCTAAATCACTGACGCCACTCTATCAGAACATTGTTGAAAATATCACACCAAAAACCATTCTTTTCCAGAAATACGTAGAAGACAATCCCCAACAATATGGCGCCAATGTGAGCCCTAACAATTCTGCATGTGAAACTTACCCACTCTTTTCAATACTACCAATGATTTTCAAATCTCACCAAACTCAACACTTAGAACCTTAAGTCATTCGATTTGCAGATGGCCTGGTATTGCTACCGGATCATACCTGTAGAGTTCCCATTGACAATGCTGCCTGAAGACCCTTTCCATGCCCTGTGGCTCGAATTGGTGGGCTCATGACATATCTGAAAAACAGAAGGAACATAAAAATCAATTAAATTTCCAAGGGAAATGGCTGCATTTATTTGAAAGGCTCCCAGAAAAGAGAATTGGAAGCAGGATGAAGGAAAGTCAAGGTAATATCCTTGCTTTGCTGCAACGTTAAAGTCTGGATCCCAAAGCCCAGAATCATCAAGGACTAGACCTGAAACCACTGGTTCCCCAACTACTCGCTGACCTGAATTTGGAATTAAAAATAAGATGCGAGATGTACCAATAATACAATTTATATACTCATTTAAAATCCTGTTACTGTGGCAACTGGGTAAAAGAAGAACATTTCATTAGAAACTGAAAAATTGAAACAATATTCAAAGTGAAGAATCTCAACGAACCACAAACGAATTAGTAAGCCAATCAATGACCCAACCCATAGGAATAAAAGTGGAAATAATTAAACATAGATCCAAACAGTAAAGGACCCAACTAACACCACAAACCTAAGTGTTGTGACTCCATGCTAACACAAACACGCACACGCACAACAAATAAAAATAAACAGACATTTGAAAGAGACTAAACTTTCCTCCATCTAAAGGAGTGTACGAAAACATTCGGACTGCTTTCTAACTCTGCCAATATATATGTAGCTCAAGTGTTTATATGGTATAGTAGTTCAAATGACAAAAGCGAAGAAGGAAGACTCTAATTTCAATGCAAACTGAGAGTTCCATTGAACATAAAAATGCTAATGGAGTAAGTGCTATCACAACTAATGCTCATAGATACATGTCCACACTCCCAAGTACATTCTCGGGATGTTTCAGCGATGGTGCCCAAACATTATTGGTTCAGTAACTAAATTATACTAGCACAATAATACGAGTACCCTTAAAGTAAACAAATGGTTTGAGAAGATTGTTAGAACTACTGCATTCCAAACTGGAAAAAGAGGATAAAATTGGAACACATGCGTCCACTAACAATCAAAATGTTGACACAATGTTCGTAAAATTCTCTTACTCCATATTTGTCTTCAAAATTCAACAGAAAACAAATATGTTTCCTCGCTTGAGTGCCGATATGCAGATATCCATGGCACAGACAACAAATTTTTGTATAGTTTGGGGTGTTTATAGTGTCTCCAGCCTACGTTATATTGTAATCACAGTTCTAATTATTCTGCACCATTGGATAACAATTTATCCAGGACTATCTCAAAGGATACATAAAGAATGAATGGATAAGACTTCTTCCACATGGCATCTGCCAAATAAGCCCAAACTTGCCTACTGATGTAAGCAACTTGACTGACCCATGTTAGTAAAATTTCCTTCAGAGCGCAAAAGTTTAGTTCCATTAACATGTATAAGTCAAACAAAATCAAGTTTTATTGAATGCGACACTTGAATAGACATTGCTCCACCAGATTCTGTTCAGTTTATTACCCTAATCTCTAACAGAAGCCATCGAGCTCTTAGCCCACATGCTTTTCAAACCTCAGAACGGTTTTATGTTGAACAGAGAAGAAACTCTTAAGCCTCTCACAATTCTCAATGTGCAGAACAAGCAAACAAAGGTCAACATAAGAAGCTTTATGAAGACATATATAAGGCTTGAAAAGACAGAAACCTGATTTTCGAGCTCTAGCAACCTCTTCCATTGCATCAATACTCATGACATGTACGACGTACAAAGGTGTGTTAACAAAACCAGCTAACCGAATTGCCCGAGCAGTAGCCTCTGCTTCAAGCTGTAGGGAAGCTTCCCAGTTAAACATTCAGCGAAGAAGTAATTCAAAATATTGTACAGCCAAGAGTTACGACAATCTTAAACTGAATAAACAAAGGCTAATCAGGAGATCAATTGTTGAACCCACAATGGAATATATTTGGTTAATATGTTATAAGAAAAGAGATCGCTGAGTGCTCACTCTATGATAATAGTCCTCTCTAAAAACTCATCAAGATCCTTCACAAGTGTCACAGAGTTTTACAGATCCCTAAAAGCACACTGAAAAAACTATGGTACAAAGACTCAACAAACACCACTCATCCTCTAAATTATTCCTGCAATCTCTGGAATAGTGTATCAAATCGATATATTCAATCTTTCCACATCTTCTTGACTGATCTTTTTGGAGTTCGAATAGTGACTCATGATATTCTCTTCTGTTTGTGCAGTGATTGATATAGATATTTCATGCAATATCTTTGACAAGGCATGAGTTCATTGATATGAAGAGAAAGAGCAATTTGAAAAGAGAACTTGGGCCTTGCAACTAATGTCCAACTTGTGAACTTAGTTGCCAAAGTGTATCAACAGGAAAGTTAAGCAACTTACGCAATACACAAAAATTAACTGTGATCAACACTGGAGTGTAAATAAATCCACCAATGAAACTGAAATATTAAATGTTAACGGCAACTTTAGCACATCTAATGTTTTCCAGTAGCTCTTCATAATCTCACTATTATACCCAAAATTTTCAGTGGGGAATTCGGAAGAAACCCCAAATCACCAGATAAAAGTCTGAACGAACAAAGGCTGGGAGACCAATTTTTCTGTAACAATGAAATGTCAAAGTATTTGGGAGGAAAATCAGCACTATCACTGATACAGATGAATGACTTGATTTAGTTGCAGAAAAGCATGACCCCCACCAACTCACCTTTGAATAATCCTGTCAACTTTGGAACGTATATCCCAACAGTGAGGTAAATATATCAACCTGGTTCATGGATGAAAAGACTTTTTGTTGACAAGTTCTATATTACAAATGGTGGTTAACTTCAAACTCATTAAGTTTCTTTTCTTACTTCGCAATAAAATTATTGTTTAAGTAATAACAATAATAACAAAAAATCTAATCTATATTGTTGTCGTACACCACTTACAGTATTGTTAATGACTTTATTGGCACAACGGCAAGCAGCAGAAGAATAGACAGGAAGAGATGGCCAGCTGTAAATACAATGTTCAAAAGCTGTACGATTACCACATTTAGCGGTAAATATTAAAATATCAAGTTCGCATTTAAATTTATAGGAATCACCAGGACTCTACATTTTAGTGAGAGTCAAAAGATTGTAGAGGAGTTTTTTTTAGTAGGTGAATGAACCATTGTGATCAGTTTTGCTTTACAGAAAACACAAAAAAGGAGCGTAGATTGTATGTCTTATGGTTTCTAGTTTGCATCAGAAGAAAATGATTCAGCAATACTGGACCTCACTAGAGCCCAGCAGACAGAAGTGACAGCCGATCAAATATATCAAAATTATTTAAAAAAATACCCGCAAAATTGTTTTTGGTCAGTATTGATTATTGGGAATTGGTGTGATACCGTCAAGAAGCAGCTTGTTTTTTTTTTTTAACTTTTCTACTGTTAGCCAGTTATCACATGAATACTTAAATCACAAATTCCAGCTGTACATCCAAGACATGTTTTATACCAAATATCATATCCAAGACTTTGCCTTGGTAGACAAATGAGAAGTGCAAAATGCATTAACTTCAGGAAGAACCATTGGGGTTCTAGTTTACAAGTGATAGGAAAGTTGATGGGACTTGTGAGGGTTAGTTTATTGGTTTTCATTAAAGAATATGTTAAATTAAAAGGAGATTAAGGATACCGAAAAAGAAAACAAAATTAGGGGAGCCGATGGAAAGCGGCACACAGAGAATTTTAGAAAAAAAAAAGAAAGAAGATTTACATCAAGCCCTTCTACTCTTATGCCTTGGAGACCACTTTAATAAGGTATTGTAGCTTATATAATTTCAAGTATTTTTAAAAGCTCAATCAAATCATTACTATTCCGTACGTTGCAATTTTATAAAAACAATAACAACATTACTAGGAACAACATAGGGCAGTTAAGCAAGGATAAGTAGCCATATCAAGAAGGAATTACCACTGGTGGCCGTGATAGTGCATGCCCCTCTGGACCTGTAATGCCGAGTTCGATCATCCTTTTCTGGCCTTCAAACACAGCATCCCCATTTTCAGCATGAACCATGGCCAGAGCACCAAGAGACTTGCACTTTTTTAGCCCCTCCAATAGAAGCTCATCATTGATCATAAGAGAACCCTTGTATGCAAGAAAGAATTTGAAGGAGTTTACACCTGTAGCAGAAAGTTAACTTAAATAGTTAGGTACTGCTTCTTAAAATGGCATAGAAACTAGACAGGAATGTTCGACTATGTGCATGCCCAGGGCATCATTAACCTTTCTCCTTGACCATAATGTCCATTTCACTTGCAACCTTCTCATCCCATTTGGTTATTGCCATATGGAAACCATAATCCATGCATGCCTTCTTTGCTTTCTCTACATATGCTTCATATCCTAATGACAGGCTCCCATTCACTGGAATCACAAAGTCAATGTGCATAGTTGTTCCACCTGCTAGAGCAGCTGCCTGTCCACTGAAGAAGTCATCAATAGTTTCAGTACCCATAAATTCCATTGCCAGGTGAGTGTGAGGATCAATTCCTCCTGTCAGTAACACATCATACTTTGTTAAAAGATACAAAATAAAAAAGGAAAACTAAAATTATTCAAGTAGACAAATAGCATCGAAATTAAGGACTCCTTTCTGTTTCATTATAACGATGGATGCAATAAAGATACCAGCAAAGCTTGATCCACCCTGCACTACACACTCTTAATGACTACAGCTACCATAAGAAATAGTATAATAGCCAAGGCTTTCACCTTTGACAGACTAATTACCTGTTAATAAACACAGTATTTTACATACATTGACAAAAGTGCTATAGTATTTGCCGTATGAAAAAGACATTTAACATTCTTGCATATTTCCACCAAATGAACTAAAAGCCTACAAGTAATGAGACCTGGAGAAGCGATTTTTTCCTCTAAAAACTATGTAGCATAAAGGCTACAATTAATAATCATCATTCCGATGACAATCATCTAAAATAAGTTGTTTACCATTAGTGCCTCTCTGAAATTTCACAGCTTGAATGTCTTTACTGAATTCATTCAATGGTAAGAAATAGAAACTAAATCTTTCATCTTGATATCTGGATACAGGAGTAACTTCAGCCTATTGATGAGTTCCAATTATCAACAGATAAAGCTTATCCTGACCGAGATTTTAGCTTAGAAACAATGAGAGAGACAACAAAAACAACAGCAAACAGCTATAACAACAACAGCAAAAAGCCTTTTTTCAACTGTGGGATCGGCTAAGCTTTGATAAGGAAAATTTCACTAAATTTTTAAGTATCTATTTGGCTAAGTGTGAAATAGAACTTATTTTCCATTCATCCAATAGGTGAACTAAAGAGCATGACACCAGTGATTATGAAGAACACGAGATTGATGCAAGTTACAATGCCTTCTCTTAAATTATAAGCATCAGCATCAGAACACACTAGCATGCACATTGAAATAAGTCAGTAACTTTAATTACCTGGCATGACAAACTTTCCGGTGGCATCAATGACGGTGACATCATCAGAGACCTGCGCACCAGACTTCCAAGTTCAGATAGCAGCTCACTGATTAAAGAGTAAAGGCAACGTCAACCTCTTCTACTTTTTTTTTGGGTTTGGGGGTGCGGAGTGGGGTGTTAACAGAAAATCTGATTTTCCAATTCTGAAGACAGATATAAGCAGTAAAGGAATAGTTTTTGGCAGAAGAAAACAAAATATGTACTAGATTGACCGTACATTTTTTATCGACTTATTTTTGAGGGTTCTGGCCCAGAGGTTTCTGATTTATCCGAAGGTTGTGTACTGATTATGAAATATAAAGGGGCTGAGGTCATAGTGTTTGGCTTCTTCTAGTTTGATTTCAAGAAAACTCTTGATGTTTCATTGATATGAGCTATTGATTCTGTACTTTCTACTCGTATCTCTGAGAAATCTGAAAAGTTCCAGTGAACATGCATGAACCATCCTAAAAGCGGCTATCGCATTTTTTATTCCGTTGGTTCTACCACGCACCTTCTTTCTAGTGAATTGATCACAAATCCTATCTAATTTAGTATGCCAGCATATCAATTCATTTCTGCTACCTGCATTTTCTTTTGTTTGTTTGTTTACATATTTAGTGAACAAACATTCTGATTTGTATAGCATCGCTAGTCATATAGCAGTTCTGTAGAACTTAGAACTTTTAGTTTTAGCAGTACTTTATGGTTAAAGTAATGCACTCCTCCATAATTCCAACCTGTTGGAAAGTGAGCAATAAAAATTTTTCGATTTCGCCATTTTCTTGTATATTCTAAGTATTTAAAACTTATTTACGCGTATTAACTCGTGTTTATTTCATGAATATGACACTGTGTAAAACAATCCTAAATCCTTAGTCAAACTACGCAAGTCTAGCAAATTATACAGCAGATAAACAACCATCAGTCTGGATCAGATAGCTTTGTTGATATTCTATTTCAATTTATTAGTTAAGTAATTAAGCTGATCATATTGGGGTTGCAAAGAGAGCATAGCCCAATATAATAAATCAACTACAGTAGAGCAACAAAAATATAATACATTGAAGAAAAATTACAGATTAGCATCAACATCTTGGGACATGATCAATTCAAGACAAGATAATTTCATAACCATTAAGTAGGTGCCAAACTTCAAACAAAATGTCACAAGAATCCTTATAGAAACGGTACTTTAATTATTTTGCATAAGCATTTCATATAATTGAATAATCATAATATTTTTCAACTTGCAAAATACTCAAAGCTCTAGCCAACTTCAGCAACTTCATACAAAGTGGACAAACGTTGAGTGAAGTTCCTCAACTCACTATATAAGATAGTTCCACAAACATCGGTATGTCAATAAAACATAGGAACGTCTTCCTTCAATTTTTAGTTATTAGTTTAGCAAGCAAACAAACGAATCGGAATAAACTTTGAGCAACCCAAAACTAAACAATCTGAGATTAAAAACTAATAATATTAATAATAGATTAAAAAAATTAAAAACAAAAGAAACTAAGTGAGCTGACCTCGTTGACCCATAGGAGCTTTCAAAAATAAGTCAAATCACAAGCCATAACTTGTAAACTAAGTGACTACTTTGAAAAAATGCACAGATCACCTTGATGTTAGGTTTCACTTCAACAATTAGCCCATTGTCTACATATACATCGGCTACCTCCTGATGGTGAGCATTCACAACAGTCCCTCCCTTAATCAAGATCTTTGATGAGGATAAGGATATACAACATCCCGGAGGACTTGAACCCGTCTCGGCATAGCAAAACTGCTGTGAAGGAGATAGAGAAAATAATTTTAGACATGGCCTAATTTATTCATATGTACATAAACCAACCCTAAGAAAATGGATAAGGAATTTCAGAAGAAATGCAAGAAAACGTGATCCCTTCCTTTCGGCATAAGTCAGTTGTTCAGTCAGTATCCTAGAATTGACAGTTAAGTTTTTGCATCCCTAAAAATCTATATTTTCAAATAGAAACAACAAAAAAAGAAATAGGTGCAGACCAGAAAAGGGTACAACTTTGACATGGTAGTCTCCCATCCTCAGCTAAAGAGAAAGAAATTACTCATTCAATAGGTTTCTTATTCTCTTTCAAGAGAAGGAAAAAAAATGGAGTGAAACAGTCGTGTTCCTTCCATCCTGGAAACTGAGTTTAAAACCGATGGTGTCAAAACTATGATAAATAGGAAAGAGCTGTGCATGGCTGGCTAATTCTACCGTGACTCAAACAAATTAGAGTATATGTTTCCAGGTTCTTTGACAGAAAGGCATCGAAACCCAAGAATATAAAACCCATTCATAAATTTGCAAAGCTCAACTAAATCAATTTCTGAAGATGATTAACACATTAGGCAGGTTTGATCTTAGTCTCTTTCACATGCCCAAAGGCAAAACAAATCACATGTTAGGGCAAGTGAATATAAATTCTCCAAAGGTCCCAACCTTTGAAGCCTCTACGATCCTTAAACTGTGTCAGGAAGAAGCTATTCAATTCACAATTGAACATGGACAATAGGAAATCTGTGCCGCAAACATTTGCATTCTATTTGACAAAGCTAAGTGTCAACATTTAATGTACTTCATCCACTATGTAACATCTAAGGTGCGGAAAAAGGTAGGTATAAAACCTTACACCCCAAAAAGGTCGATATAACTTTATGCGGCCAATCCTTACCATACAACAAGAAGGTGTTCCTCTGCCTACTACAGGAGGACTTGCATTCAAACAAACGTTGTTTCACCTGTTTCTGGAACTGACAGGAAGAAGATTCTGTCAGAGGATATCCTTAGTGGGTCCCCTTTGCCCTTCGGAGAACATTCCAAGAATGACCCTTTCTAACTCAATTCACCACACATTAGACTGGTTAGTCTCTCATGACATTAGACTGGTTAGCCTATCTTATGGATCAGTAGCTTTCCGGGATAAGTATTTTGAGTTGTAAAATGGTTATCAAGGGCATAAAGCATCCTTGATCAAACAGTTCAATCACTAGAGTTGAAATTCAACAGTCAATAAAAAATTTGAAAAAAAAGAAAAAAAAGTTAATAGTAAAGGGAACATATCTAAACTTTCGAAAAACTATTCAGGGATTACAGGTATTAAATAATCAAATCATTCAAACTAGATTTTCCCAGCGACCATTAAATTATACTATCATACTATATATACATAATAACCCGAAATCACAAACAACGTATTTCTTAAAATAAAGGACCAAGTCGACTACAGATATATGAAGCAATGATGAATTATCGACATTCTTAGCCTTATCCGGTAAAGATATTCAACACTAAAGACCCTTTGTTTTCTCAAAGACGAATTGAAATACCGCCGGGACAAAATTGGGGGTATTCACGAAGACTACCAAATTTCACAAACTGAAAGGAGAATTCGTAGTTTTCAAACAGCCATTTCATAGAATTTTAAAGCAATTCCAAGCAAACAATTATAGGAAGCGAGACCCAGTCAGAATCCATTTCCGAATTACCTCATTGGAAGCAGAAGCTGGTGCCAGAAACTGGAGAGCAGCCATGGCCACGATCATTCTGATGATGAAAAGCTTACAATTACGATGACCGATTTGAAGATTTGAATCCATGATGGATTGAATCAGCTAACGTTGTTTGTTGAAAAATCAAAAACTCCGAGAGTCCAGATGAAGAACTTCAAAGAGTTTGACTATTTGTGTGAAGGGCGCCAATTAAAAAGTTTTCTTGCTTTCCGAAAACGACAATAATAATTTTAATAATTGTTCTTAAAAAAAAAATTCTTTCTTCCATTCCAACCATTCGAAATTTTAGGCAATAATAAATAACTAATGCTTGGCCCGGACAGATGTCCGGGCGCCCCCTCTAAATTACTATTTTATTAAAATCTAATTGAATTACTATTTTTTGAGGAATTAATTTAGCGTATATATCATTTATGCTATGGTTTGGGGCTTAAAAAAAATATACCTATAAATCTGAGGTTATAAGGGAATAATAAATAATTAGTTTATAAGGCATTATTCTTAATTACTAGATTTAGGTATTTTTAGTTTTTGTTTATATTAAGCCTGCAAAACTATACGATTGGACATTTGAATTTGAATTAATTTATCCATTCGTTTAAAATGTAACTGATCCTTATTTGTAGTAAAACATGTGTTTTTTTTTAAAAAAAAATTATATAGCTTCTAATTAAAAGAGACTTACACGTGGCAAAAAGACTTCTGAAATCTGAAATATGGTGCATTGGAGCCAAAACAGATGCATACGTAGTTGTCACATAAGCTTCATGTCTTCTGCTTTAATATGGTAAAAGGGATTCTTTTCAGTTTAGCAGAATCAAATTTGAAAAAAAAAAATAGAATAGCATGCAATATTGTTTTTTTTTTTATAAGTTTTAAAAATAATTTCATTAGTTGAGATAGTAGGAACTGACTTAAGAGATACCAAATATGACATCTAAAATATAATTAGAAATCGTTATTTTGGATATAAAACTAGTGTTTGTCTCGCGCTTTATTTGGCTTTGTCAATATTAAAAATTTATATTTCAAAAGAATTGATTAGATAATATAGGTACAAATATACCATCCTTATTCTCTTAAAAAAAATGTAGTTACTAATATTTCTTAAAACTGTAATATTTTTTTGATTAATCAGTTTTAGATCAAAATGAGATATATTGATATTATTTATGAGATGTATATTTGTAAGATCTGGTAAAAAATATTACAACAAAGATTTTCAAAAGTTATATGATAAAAAATTGTCACTACTAACTAATGTTATGTTTGATTTAAAAAATATATTTAAAAAATACGTAAATTATGTCTAGATGTATATGGTCTATTTTTATAGGCAAGTGGACTTTGGGGATTAGATGTAGTTCTAATAAAATATGAGACACAATTAATCGTCCTTAAAAATGTAAAATCGATAAACTTGAAAACTAAATAGCACACAAATGAAACTTTAAGGGCCAAAATGACAATAGCTTGAAAGTTTAAACTCGTAAATGAAAGGACTTTTGAAGTCGGGAGTTTCTCAGCAATTTTCAAAAATATTCATTTTCAAGTTCACAATCAGGAATTTATAACATCTGTAAAAATCTTATATACTCCCTCCGTCCCACAAAAATAGTCCAGTTTGAAAATATACAACTTTTTTAATTTGGTCAACACATCAAATTTACAACTCATTTCATTCCCCTAACTTCCACTAATGCCCCTTCTAGTTATTTCTATAAAAGTTAACTACATATGCATTTATTTTACAACTTAAATTTGATCAAAATTTTTATCTCAAAAAATATTGACAATGGATCTTGATGGAAAGATCTCGTTACGTAGATTAATTTGATATATAACACATTTTTTAATTATTCATGTATTAAAAGATATAATCATTCAAAAAAAATAAGAGAAAATTAAAAAAGGTGAAAATCAAAAGAAGTCTTGTTTTTCATAACCACTACTCTTTTGGATGTTCAAGTCATTTCAATTCAATGAATTTTGATTTTTGTTAAACTGGACTATTTTTTTAGGACAAGATTTTTTATTAAATTAGATTATTTTTGTGAGACGGAGGGAGTATTAAATAATTTATTAACTGTTTGCAAAATATTTTAACTAATTAATGATCAACTAATTAGTAAATGACACGTGTTAATTGAGACTTGGTCTCAATGAACGACACGTGTCGATTATCTTTCTTTTCTTTAATATATATAATGATTTAAAATTTCGCTAATGGTCTTTGCTTTAAAATATTTTTTCTTATTTGGACTTTGCTATACATGTAAATTACAAATTCATAAACTATCTTGAACTGATCCTATTTTTGGAATCTTTAAAGTGAAAAACAAATAAAGGAATGAAAGTATGCGTAAATTTTTTTCAAGACCCGATAATCTTACAAATAATGTACTCCCTCCGTCCCAAAAAAATAGTTCAGTTTGGAAATGTACAACTTTTTTAATTTGGTCAACACACTAAATGTACAACTCATTTTATGCCCTTAACTTTCACTAATGTCCCTTCTAATTATTTTTATAAAAGTTAACTACATATGCATTTATTTTACAACTTAAATTTGATAAAAATTTTAATCTCAAAAAATATTGACAATGGATCTTGATGGAAAGATTTCGTTACGTAGATTAATTTGATATATGACATATTTTTTAATTATTCATGTATTAAAAGATATAATCATTTGAAAAAATGAGAGAAAATTAAAAAAAATGAAAATCAGAGGAAGTGTACCTTATTTTCCTTACCACTACTCTTTTGGATATTGAAGTCATTTCAATTCAATTAATTTTAACTTTTATGAAACTGAAGTATTTTTTAGGGACAAATTTTTTTATTAAACTGGACTATTTTTTATGGGATGGAGAGAGTACATGATTAGAACATCAATGAAATTGTTACTAATGTGACACTTTTGGAGTCTCTATTGTTCTATATCACTATGTACGTGTCCTTTTCTTTTAAATTTGTCATACGGCATTTTTATATTTTCACTGCATTATTTTTTCACATTCCCAAAATTAAATGTTCATCCGTCTTGTAAAAAAATACTAGTAATCCCTTTTACCCTATTAAAGCAGAATATAGGATGTTGATGTGGCAAATTCTTATAAAAAATTTTTGGCTCCAAATGCACCATATTGCATTAACCATTCTGCCACGTGTCATCGCTTTTTAAAAGGAAAAAAAAAATTCTTATCCGGAGAAACAAAAGCTACTTTACAAAAATAGCTACACAATTTTAACTCCTAACATTTATTATTTATCAATCAAATTAAAATAACATTGCCCATAAACTTATCCCTTTTATTACTCTACATTCTTTTGTATGATTTCTGTATTGTTGTACTTTTCAATATTTTTTCTCCTTTGGCAGATGATTTTTTTATTTTTATTTTTATTTTTATTTTTGGTTAAAAATGAGAAAAAAAAACCAAATGTGTAAAATCAAAAATTTATTTATCTATTATCACAAAATTACAGTAGAGGGGCGCCCGAGCATCTGCCCGGGCCGAGCATCTAGTTGTTTCATTAAGAAATAAAACAAAATAATAGAATAAAATTGCACACTCCAAGAAATTAGAACCAAAAAAAAAGAAAAGGAAAAGCTGTTTTGGCCCAAAACAATTGTGAGGTCTCGCTCCATTCTCATCATTGTTCCTTAAAAGTTATCAAATTTCCGTTAATGTAAAGTATATATTGGAGTAATTATTTTTGAGAAAAAGGGGGACACAAACGCCACACTTTTTTTCAAGAAATATCTACTCTCTGGAACTCCCAAAGCCATTTAACATACACAAGAAAAAATGGTACATATAATCTGGGAAAAATAAAGGGAAATTGCAAAGGGAAGAAAAAGAGAAGAAAAAACCATGGAAATATCTCCAACTTCTTTTCTTTCAACCACCAATCGTCCCTTAACGCTGCTGCATTCACCTTCTTCATCTTCATCAACCAAAATTACGGTATTATTTCCTTCTAAATCATTTGGGAGAGACCAATACAACTACCAATACAATCTGCAGCTGGAAGCTAATCTGCTTTGGGAACACAAAACCGCGTCGTATCGATATTCTTCTTTCAGGGGAAGATTTACTGAAGAAGATGAAGATGAAGAAGAAGAAGAATGCAGTTTCGATGAAGCGGTGGAGCTGTTCAACAGAAAGGAATACTACAAATGCCACGATGTTCTGGAAGCCATTTGGAATAAGTCCCAAGAACCCGCCCGAACTCTCGTGCACGGCATCTTACAGTGCGCCGTTGGTTTTTATCATCTCTTTAATCAGGTAATGATAATATTATATCTGTCTGTCACAGATTATTATCGAGTTTAGATTTTCACTCTTAATACAATTTGAACTAAAAATTGAAATTCAAACTGAATATTCATTTCTGAACGAAAGTAATACGTTTCCTTAGTGATTGTTGTATCCCATATTCTACTTATAATTTTTTTTTTTTAATTTGGTGTTGTCATCTAGTTTAATTCTTTTGTTTGAAATTTTCCAGTGGTAACCTACAATGGTTAGTTCTTTCGTGCATCTCAAAAGAATTGTGTTGTTCAGAGAAAAAATAATCTTTTGTATAAGGATAGATAACTACGTAAGGTAATTGTATCACTAACTATATGGACTAGAACGTATATAAATAGTCAGAGTGTGATACATTTAAAAAAAAAAAATGCATATTGTAGAATTTAATGGCTCGATTAAGAATGCTATTTCTAAAAGTGTAATAGAAATAGGTGTTAAAACTAACGACAGGAGGCCACAAGTTCACCATTGTATTGGGATTTTAATTTAATTTTTTTTCCCCTCTAAATTTTTGGAGGGGGGGCAATAGCTTTGTATAATCTTAGTTGGAATATGGGAGAAAATTAAAGATATGAAAAAATGGACTTTATGTGTTTCCAATTTGTCAATTTGCCCCTTTCATTTTGATTTAGAATCATAAAGGAGCTATGATGGAGTTGGGAGAAGGGCTGTGCAAGCTGAGAAAAATGAACTTTGAGACTGGACCTTTCCATCAATTTGAGGAAGAGATCTCTGCTGTACTGGATTTCATTCACCAAACTCAATTGGAGCTTGCTGCTTGTGAGTTCAATAATCCACAACTTCATTTTTTTCTCATGCTCTTTTTTGTTTTTTTTTTTTTCCTTTAGTAAGCTGGGAGAAAACAGGCATTGTTCCTTTCATCCAATAATATTGATCTATTTGTTTTATCACCTGAAGAAAAAAAATTTAATCCATAATTTTGTTCTAAGAAAAAGTGCTTTTATATCCTGAACATTTTTTATTAATTGGTGGTGATAATTTTATATGCTAAGTGAGTTACTTTTTGGGAACAAGAGAAATAATTAATAATGAAGTTTTGTCTATTATATTCTGCTGAATTATATAACTTTTATTGTAGGTACAAAAGAATTTTGCCTTACAATGGATCAATCAGAGAGGTCTTACCAGCTGCTAGGTGGTTATGCTGCAGGTCAGCCAATTTATCGAGTTGACAAAAAAGAAGATAACTTGACCTACATTTTCTTCTTCCCGGAGGGTTCGTATGACACAATTGAAAATTTTTCTCGATGTATAGAATTACCAATTCTTAAGGCTTCTGAAGATCATTTAGTTGAATTTCAATCCAAAAACTAGTAATCAATATCTGTACTTTAATTAATAATCAAGCTGTATGCATTTTGATATTTTTTTTCTTTCCGGCCCTAATTATTAGTAACATTTTTGTATCCTTTCATTTTCTTTAAATTAAATGGAATCAAGCATGCATATCGGACACAATTAACCAAAGAAACACACGTATACATAATTCAATCATATAAAATGTAATACCCAGAAAATTCCGGAAATTATTTTATCAAATAATTTTTTAAATTTTTTCTAAGAGATATGTAGTTTGGTACATACAATTATTTGTATTGATTTCTAATGATATATAAGGGTAAAATAAATTTAAAATTAAAATCGGTTTTTGAGAGAACGTATACACAAACATTTGTAGTCAAGCAATATAATTTTTTAAGGAATTTCAAATATTTGTTCCGAATTAAAAGTGGTAAGAAAATAAAAGATTAGTTGGTAATTAAAGAGTAAGAAATAGGTGTAATTTTTAAACTATAGGATTAGATAGAAATTGCTAGAAGATACAAATAATTTAAAATTCTAAACAACAACTCACAAGATTTTTGGTAATGAAATTTGTATTAGAGTTTTGTTGTCCCACATTGTCAGATGCTTAAAAGGAGAGCCGATTTCACACTCTACACTCCTATCACACAAAATTAATACTTCCCCCGTCCCAAAATTACTGTCCAGTTTCGATTTTCACTTTTAGTTTAATTTGTACTAATTTGAAAATTCAAACTGGACAATAATTTTGGGAGAGGGAGTAAAAAGGTATTTGGATTCACTTAGAGTTTTTTTCTCAAATAACACAATTCATCATACTATTACCGTAAGTAACCTGAACTGAAATCAAATTCTTTGGCTAGACTTTTGTAAAGTCACGCAAACTTGAAAGATCTACCTCAACAGAATAGTTATTTTTTGCTAAGCAAAAATATTAATCTCCTCTGCCAAGTTCTCGTCCGGCACGAACCGCTCAACCAGTGCCGTCGGATATAAATCGCTCACTTCAACCGGTATCTAGCAGTCTGAATAGCAACGAATGATCGAAGGAAGTATTGGTTAACAAGATTTTGGGTTCTTTATCTCCTTTTTATCTCTAAATATTTTCAATTTTCCACTCTCATTTTTCTTCATCTTTGGCCAAAAAAGAATACTTGGCAGCGACAAACTCTGAGCAAAGGTTAAAGGTGGAGTTTTTCCTGAGTAGTGACTCGAAATTTGCTCTTTAATACATTAATGGTCTGTTTGATAATCACTGAAGTTTGAATCTGAACACTTAACACTTAACACTGAAGTCTGAAGTCTGAAAACTGAATTTACATTGTTTGATAAAAACGTCTGAATATGATGTCTGAAGACTGAAGTCTGAAGTCTGAAGACTGAATCTGAATACTCATGTCTGAAAGTTATTTAAAATTTTAATATCATTAAAATTGAATTATAAACAAAATTCTTTTAAATAGAAAAATAACTAATATTTTGTTCTAAATAATAAAATAATAATTTTGAAATAAGTTTTTGTATATATAATGAAAGTAGATGTTACACTTGGTAAATAATCAATATATAACTAAATTTAGATTATTACATATATGTGTATACCTTGTTATTTAGCAAATTTCATGTATTAAAATTAGTTTAATTTGAGTTTGAAAGTTTGAGATCTTTTATACACATAATATAAATTCAACTTTAAGCATTCTTAATTAATTTATCTTAAGAAAATAAAAATTTTAAAAACAATGTAAAAATAAGTGAAAAAATAAAGACGAGGGGAAAAAAAAGGAAAAAAAGAAAAAAGAAAAAAAAGAGTTACACAGAAATTAAGTGATAAGTGATAAGTGATAGGTCTATCACTTATTTTCTGGCTCACAATTGAACTGGCCATTCAGACGCACTTAATTAATTCAGACAGTGAAATTTTAGTTATCAAATGCAATTAATTTATAAGTACTTAATTAGTTCAAAACTTAATTCATTAAGATTTTTTAGTAGCGATTATCAAACACACTTAATTTCATTAATTATTTAAATAAATTAAGTCACTATATTAAGTAATTATCAAACAGAGCCTAAAACTCTGAAGTTTGAACCCGAAGTTTTGACCAGTGTCTATTTGTTTTCGCCTCAATGCCTATAATTAGATAACCAATTTTTTTTCTATGGAACAAGTATCATTTCATTTTCAGTTTTTCATTATCTTTCTATGGCTTATTAATTTTATTGATATTTATGCTTCTTTTACATAACTTGAAAGCAACTTATTGTTTTAATTTATATTGTGATCAATTATTGTTTGTTGGCTGTTTGATCAGAAAGAATTTCCAATACTTTTATCTTGGACAGTGTTTTCTTTTCTTTCTTCTTTTTTGGTGTTTTCACATTTCTTACCTTAATTTCATAATGAACAAATTACCCTTTAGAATGATGAACAAAAGTTACAAAACAAAAATGCATAATTACATACGATTTATTTTTATTGGTTGAAGATCCTTGAAAAAAATGACTAAACTAAGAAAATTTAGTAAAAGAAAATGACTGATGATGTCCTAATTTTCAATCTCGCACATTGGAAAAAGAAAAGAAAAGGGAAATCTTTGCAAAAGTTGAAGTACAGAAAGAAAAAAAAAAGAGAGAGAGAGAAAAAGAGAGAAGGAAACGAGAATGTGGGATAACAGAGAAGAAAAAAAATGAAGAAGATAAATTAATCCTAAAACGGTATACATTTATTTATTTTCCATCATGGCAATTGAAAATATGACATGTCACAACTTAAATCATTTCGAAGTAATATGATTTATATTTAGGTTACTTACAGTAATAGTTTAATTAATCATAGTATTTGAGAAAAAAAACTCGATTCATTTAAGGAGGAAGCCATGACCAAGGATTTGCTTAAAAGCCTCAAATACTCTTAAAGAAGCCCAAATTCATTTGTGATTTCTTCTAGTCCAAAAATATTCTTCTAAAGAGGTAAAGTTTTAGTTTTTTTTTTTAATTCTTTTTTCTTTGGGTATATCAACTTTTCATATTTACAGTGCTACTTTCAACTACTACAATCATTAACTTAACAGCTAATACCAAGACTTTTTAAGAAACCACGGTTTTCATTCCTGTTGATTTAGGTTTGGGCATCTGAGCAGATCCAGAGAATTGCCCCCCAAAGAGTATTAAAGAATTTTGAAGAGGATCCTACCGCTCCTTTAGCTCAACAGTAAGTTTATTTTATTTACACAAATTTTAAGATTATTGATATTATTATTTTTTTGTTCCAAAAATAATATTTTTGAATTTTTTGTATTGAAAGGTGGAATTGCTCGTACTCCTACAAAGACATCCCAAGGACTAGTCTCCCAGGTTTTAGAGATCAATTGACCGCTTTATGTGCAACTGACGTAAGCAAGAATAACTTCTTTATTTTTATTTTTATCTTTTTTTTTTTTACATTTTGGCCACCATTCTTATGTGAATTAATTTGTTACTTTCCAATGTTTTCACAGTTTCTTTTGGCAACCCTACGAGGATCTCCTTCCATCCCTCTTTGATTGTTGTAAACAAGGTAGTAACATTTGGATGACAAGGTCGTGGATGTTCTATTGGGCAGTCTAAGAACCCGACGAAATTGATAGGGTCGTGAGACAGTTTGGCTATATTCAAGAAATTCACCAAACTCCTATAATTGCCAATATCCAAGAGAATAGGTTGGCTCACAAACACAACATGTCATGACTAACCCAGAAAAACTGGGTGGATCACTATCAAAATGCACGCCCTCATTGGATTAGGAGAACCCGACACCTTCTTAGGAATTTGGTGGAAGGAGAGCCCGACCAAACTTCGGAGGACTACGAAGAGTGGTTCAAAAAGAATTCGGTGAAATTGTTATCCGATCTGAGTAATTACACATCAGTCGGATATGAGCCTTTCTCGACCCAGGTGAAAGTATTTGTAAGTGTTTATTTGCAATTAATAGTTTATTTTAATCTATTTCTCCAAATTTTTAATTATACTCTTTTACATAACCCATCATTTTATTTCCAGGGTGAAATGTTGAACAATATTCGCGTTAAGGCTATGACATTCCGAGAAGACCGCCGTGAGGCCGGTGACCTAGACATCGACCTCGAAAAAGTGCTCAGTGAGATCGTGGATCAAACTCATTCGGTTTTAACTCTTGGCAAAGACGATGAGATGGATATTGAGGATTCCCAAATCCTAAAGGATTTTGAACCCTCTCAACAGAAACTACCTCCGTGCGGTGAAACAATGAAACCGTGGCCGAAAGAATAAATTGGAGGAGGAAGAACGCGAAAGATAGGAAATCCATTTAGGACTTCTCAATCGCAGCATCACGAGAAAGGTTCGAGCCACTACGAGCAAGAGAATATGGGAGGAGAGAATGTGGGAGGAGGGGAGGATGTGGGAGGAGAGAATGTGCGAGGAGAGGATGATGTTGGTTCTTCGAGAGGATCTCACACCCCACACAAAGAAGAGCCAATTCTCACCATTACACTAGGAGAAGACTCGCAAGTTCTAAACTTGATCCCACTTGAGACAATTGGGCCAGAATCGACGGAACCAATCATTCGCAAATCCGACAGATCGCCCACCACACCAAATAATTATACCCTGGCAACTATTCCTAAGAGAGGGAAAAAATGATGGTAGATTAGTATTTTTTAGGTTATTGGATGATTTTGTATGTAAGTTATGAATTTTAGAATATTTTCCATTTGAATATTATGAAAATATTTTTGTTCCATTTGAATGTTATGAAAATGTTTTTGTTTTATTATTTGTTCCTTTCTCTGCTTTATTGTGTTGTTGGTGCTGTTTAAACAGGTTGAGGACTGGTGAAAACCAGTCCAATATTTTTTTTTTCATTATATGGTACATTTCGGATTTGCAAAATTCGAGTCTTACCATTTTGTTCGGATTTTGGAAATCTAAGAGCTTGTGCAGGAAAATGCATATCGAGCAGACACAATTGAAATTTCAGATTACAAGTGTTTTTGTGTTTGCTTCTCTATTTGTCAATTTACCTTTTTTTTTTCTGTAATTGTTTCATATCGAG